GTTAGAGTAACAGGAAGTGGTTTTTTACCTTACCAGTGTGCCTCTGTGAGTCAGAACATGGTGTGGGAAGCCCTTTGTGCCCTCACACCCTGACTCACACCTCACCACTCTTGACTATTTAGTGTCCATTGTAAACAGTTTATTAACCCTTGCTTTTTAGTGTTATTCTCTTGATTGTATCTAAGTACACTCCAATTCTGTTTCACATCATGCAAAATGCCAAAGTTCATTTGTGGGGCATGAATGGGTGTATATAAACGTGAAATGAACAAGACTATGAACAAATCTATTGTCCCATGCAATGATGGGACAGTGCCTGCTGTGGGATAGGAGATCTGCACCATCAGGCTTCCTCCCTAGGGAAAGGGTGAGGGTGAGAGATACAGGATATCATGTATGGATATCCTGTTTCCCCCCCCCCACACCTCGCACCACGTCAAGACTCCTTCCTGGCACTTGTATTGTAAACAAACTAGTTTTACATCCCACGCACTGAGCTGGCAGTATAATAGATGGATACATAGATATAACTTTATTGCCCTTCAAGGGAACTGGTTGGTCTTGAACATTTTAAAGGAGACAACGTAACTAGCTACAGGTAATTAGTGTCTTAAAGGTGCAAAATGCCATTTCCTGGTTGCTAAAATTCTAATAGTTAGCTTTAATTTCAGTTTGTAACAAAATAAGCAATGTATAGTGTAGAGCAGTGGGCAGAACTGAAAAAGCGTGTGCGAGCAAGGAGGCCTACAAACCTGACTCAGTTACACCAGCTCTGTCAGGAGGAATGGCCCAAAATTCACCCAATTTATTGTGGGAAGCTTGTGGAAGGCTACCCGGCACGTTTGACCCAAGTTAAACAATTTAATGGCAATGCTACCAAATACTAATTGAGTGTGTGTAAACTTCTGACCCACTGGGAATGTGATGAATGAAATAAAAGCTGAAATAAATCATTCTCTCTACTATTATTCTGACATTTCACATTCTTAAAATAAAGTGGTGATCCTAACTGACCTAAGACAGGGAATTTTTACTAGGATTAAATGTCAGGAATTGTGAAACTGAGTTTAAATGTATTTGGCTAAGGTGTATGTAAACTTCCGACTTCAACTGTGTGTGTGTATACACTACCGTTCAAAAGTTTGGAGTCACTTAGAAATGTTCTTGTTTTCCATGAAAACATAAATGAAATGAGTTTGAATAGGAAATTCAGCAAAATAAATAGGAAATGTAGTCATTGACAAGGTCATAAATAATGATTTTTAATTGAAATAATAATTGTGTCCTTCAAACTTTGCTTTTGTCAAAAAATCCTCCATTTGCAGCAATTACAGCCTTGCAGACCTTTGACATTCTAGTTGTCAATTTGTTAAGGTAATCTGAAGAGATTTCACCCCATGCTTCCTGAAGCACCTCCCACAAGTTGGATTGGCTTGATGGGCACTTCTTACGTACCATACGGTCAAGCTGTTCCCACAACAGCTCAATAGGGTTGAGATCCGGTGACTGTGCTGGCCACTCCATTATAGACAGAATACCAGCTGACTGCTTCTTCCATAAATAGTTATTGCATCGTTTGGAGCTGTGCTTTGGGTCATTGTCCTGTTGTAGGAGGAAATTGGCTCCAATCAAGCGGCATCCACGGGGTATGGCATGGCGTTGCAAAATGGAGTTATAGCCTTCCTTCTTCAAGATCCCTTTTACCCTGTACAAATCTCCCACTTTACCACCACCAAAGCACCCCCAGACCATCACATTGACTCCACCATGCTTGACAGATGGCATCAAGCACTCCTCCAGCATCTTTTCATTTGGTCTGCGTCTCACAAATATTCTTCTTTGTGATCCGAACACCTCAAACTTCGATTCGTCTGTCCATAACACTTTTTTCCAATCTTCCTCTGTCCAGTGTCTGTGTTCTTTTGCCCATCTTAATATTTTCTTTTTATTGGCCTGTCTGAGATATGGCTTTTTCTTTGCAACTCTGCCTAGAAGGTCAGCATACCGGAGTTGCCTCTTCACTGTTGATGTTGAGACTGGTGTTTTGCGGGTACTATTTAATGAAGCTGCCAGTTGAGGAACTGTGAGGCGTCTGTTTCTCAAACTAGACACTCTAATGTATGTCCTCTTGCTCAGTTGTGCACCGGGGCCTCCCACTCCTCTTTCTATTCTGGTTAGAGCCAGTTTGCACTGTTCTGTGAAGGGAGTAGTACACAGCGTTGTACAAGATCTTCAGTTTCTTGCCAATTTCTCGCATGGAATAGCCTCCATTTCTCAGAACAAGAATAGACTGACAAGTTTCAGAAGAAAGTTATTTGTTTCTGGCCATTTTGAGCCTGTAATCGAACCCACAATTGCTGATGCTCCAGATACTCAACTAGTCTCAAGAAGGCCAGTTTTATTGCTTCTTTAATCAGCACAACTGTTTTAAGCTGTGCTAACATAATTGCAAAAGGGTTTTCTAATGATCAATTAGCCTTTTAAAATTATAAACTTGGATTAGCAAACACAACGTGCCATTGGAACACAGGACTGATGGTTGCTGATAATGGGCCTCTGTACGCCTATGTAGATATTCCATAAAAAATCAGCCGTTTCCAGCTACAATAGCCATTTACAACATTAACAATGTCTACACTGTATTTCTGATCAATTTGATGTTATTTTAATGGACCAAAAAATTGCTTTTCTTTCGAAAACAAGGACATTTCTAAGTGACTCCAAACTTTCGAACGGTAGTGTATGTATATGTATGTATGTATATATATATATATATATATATATATATATATATATATATATATATATATATATATATATATATATTATAGTGGGACTATCATTTGTTTTTCAACAGGACAATGACCCAAAACACCCCCAGGCTGTGTAAGGGCAATTTTACCAAGAAGGAGAGTGATGGAGTGCTGCATCAGATGAACTGGCCTCCAAAATCCCCCGACCTCAACCCAATTGAGATGGTTTGGGATGAGTCGGACGGCAGAGTGACGGAAAAGCAGCCAACAAGTGCTAAGCATATGTGGGAACTCCTTCCAGGTGAAGCTGGTTGAGAGAATTCCAGCTTTGCACAGTGTGATGCCAGCTTTGCACATTCTTGGCATTCTCTCATCCGTTCACCCACACCGCTTATCACAAAGACAACACGGTTGAAACCAGAAATCTCAAATTTGGACTCCAGACCAAAGGACAAATTTCCACCGGTCTAATGTCCATTGCTCGTGTTTCTTGGCCCAAGCAGGTTTCTTCTTATTATTGGTGTCCTTTAGTAGTGGTTTCTTTGCAGCAATTCGACCATAAAGGCCTGATTTACATAGTCCCCTCTGAACAGTTGATGTTGAGATGTGTCTGTTACTTGAACTCTGTGAAACATTTATTTGGGCTGCAATGGTAACTCTAATGATCTTATCCTCTGCTGCAGAGGTAACTCTGGGTCTTCCATTCCTGTGGTCCTCATGAGAGCCAGTTTCATCATAGCGCTTGATGGTTTTTGCGACTGAACTTGAAGAAACTTTAAAAGTTCTTGACATTTTCCGTATCGACTGACCTTCATGTCTTGAAGTAATGATGGACTGTCGTTTCTCTTTGCTAATTTGAGCTGTTCTTGCCATAATATGGACTTGGTATTTTACAAAATAGGGCTATCTTCTGTATACCCCACTACCTTGTCACATCACAACTGATTGGCTCAAACGCATTAAGAAGGAAAGAAATTCCACAAATTAACTTTTAAGAAGGCACACCTGTTAATTGAAATGCATTCCAGGTGACTACCTCATGAAGCTGGTTGAGAGAATGCCAGGCGTGTGCAAAGCTGTCATCAAAGCAAAGGGTGGCTATTTGAAGAATCTCAAATACAAAATATATTTTGATTTGTTTAAAACTTTTTTGGTTACTTCATGATTCTATATGTGTTATTTCATAGTTTTGATGTCTTCACTATTTTTCTACAATGTAGCAAAACCCTTGAATGAGTAGGTGTGTCCAAACTTTTGACTGGTACTTTAGGTGTGTGGAGACCCACAGTGTAGGCTACAATATGAGGAGGAAATTATAGTGCTAAAAATGCTTTCCAGTTTCACTGATGCGCAGCTCACTCGCTAGTGATGGCCGATGCGCTCGTGCCAAAAGCCTCTCTCTCTTGTTTTACTTTGTAAAACAATATTTGGAAGTTGCAGACCGATTTAGTCTTCTCTTTTCAGCAGGAGCCATTTGCTTTCCAACCTGTGTTTTCCCGCGAATGTACGCTATTTGAAATATTGCGAAAGGCCAGTTTTGTCTGCATGCTGTTTGTTCACTGACAGATTTGCTGCACGTTCCCGACTGTAGGCTATGCCTTGTTATTGGGCTACACTCCACAGATAAGCTATTTTTTAAAATAAGCAATTTATCCTCTGTGGCTAAATGTTTGGCTTTCTCGTGGTGTAGTAGGCAATTCTGAATGATTTCATTTTCTTTCTGTACAGACAGCAGTAACTAACTTTGGCAAATTCATTTCAATTAATCAGGAGTGTTGCAGCTCCTCCAGAACCCTTCATGATTCGATAAAAAAATATATGATGAAGCGCAACGCTGGAGAGGGAAAGTGAATCTCATTCTAGTTCTGTAAGAGATACAGGAGAATTAACAAAGAGGCAACTTGAATGAACTTTAATCGCGTTTATTAGAGTTTTAACATTGCAACAAATGGAAATTATTTTTCATGCCACGAGAGGTATCGGATCCTGTTCCGGCAGGATCCGGCTCAAATGAAGCACTGGGTAAGTGAAATTGAACAGCTGATCGAGCTGTCATGTGACCGAATGCTGCGTGGAAGAACTTGACTGGACTGCACAGAGCCCTGACCTCAACCCCATTGAACACCTTTGGGATGAATTGGAACACCGACTGCGAGCCAGGCCTAACTTGGGGTCATAGAATCGATATGATATCGTCAAATGATATTGCTATATTCTACTGTATCTATTTGTTTCTCTCCAATCACCATGTGGGTATGGGACAGAGAGGAGGAGGAAAGAGAAGAGTAAGGGAAGGAAGTGAAGACTGTTACCCTGGAAACAATCCCTGACATGTAGTAACTCTGTTGTTTCTTCCCTCTGTCTAACCTGATGTTCTCTTCTCTTTCTCTCTCTTTCTCTCTCTGTCGCTCTGTAGTCACGTGGAGAAGATCACTACGTGGCATGATCCTCGTAAGACCATGACGGCAGCCATGAATCAGATGAGCCTCCACGCCCCCCCACCCACCATCACCCCACAGCAACGCAACATGGCCCTGTCCCAGCCCAACCTCGGTTAGTGCCGCACACACACCCTAGGGTTGAATACTTTCCTGGTATTTTACAAATGTTCCATTCTGAGAGTAAATCACTTTTCTCCCGGGTAACCTGGTATTTGCCGCCAAAACCGGAAGTTTCATTCTAAAGCATATAAATATGACTGGATTTGATTAGAGCTTTGATCAGCATGAAAATTCAAGCCTGATGCTACTTGAGCCAGATGAGCCCTACAGAAAATACATTTTATGAGCCCCAAGCCCAATAAAGCCCAAATGATTGTGCCGTTATCCAATAGGCCTACTTTTGATAGGCTATAAGAACCGCACATTACACACAACGGACTAACATAAAAGCTAATTGATGTACAGTATGTATGCTCTCTTAGGTAAATAAATAAAACAACCTCCAGTAATCTTTTTGAGTGTGGACTGTATTATTGTACTGTATTGTATTAAACTGTATTCGGTAAGTATTCAGACCCCTTTACTTTTTCCACATTTTGTTATGTAACAGCCTTATTCTAAAATGGATTAAATACATATTTTTCCTCCTCAATCTACACACAATACCCCAAAATGACAAAGCAAAAACTGGTTTTTAGAAATGTTTGCACATTTATTAAAAATAAAAAACATACCTTAGTTGCGTAAGTATTCAGACCCTGTGCCATGAGACTCGAAATTGAGCTCAGGTACATCCTGTTTCCATTAGTTATCCTTGAGGTGTTTCTACAACTTGATTGGAGTCCACTTGTGGTAAATTAAATTGATTGGACATGATTTGAAAAGGCACACACCTGTCTATATAAGGTCCCACAGTTGACAGTGCATGTCAGATCAAAAACCAAGCCATGAGGTCGAAGGAATTGTCCGTAGAGCTCCGAGACAGGATTGCATCAAGGCACAGATCTGGGGAAGGACACCAAAACATTTCTGCAGCATTGAAGGTCCCCAAGAACACATTGGCCTCCATCATTCTTATATGGAAGAAGTGTGGAACCACCAAGACTCTTCCTAGAGCTGGCTGCCCGGCCAAACTGAGCAATCGGGGGAGAAGGGCTTTGGTCAGGGAGGTGACCAAGTTCCTCTGTGGAGATGGGAGAATCTTCCAGAAGGACAACCATCTCTGCAGCACTCCACCGGTCAGGCCTTTATGGTAGAGTGGCCAGACGGAAGCCAGTCCTCAGTAAAAGGCACATGACAGCCCGCTTGGAGTTTGCTAAAAGGCACCTAGAGACTCTCAGATCATGAGAAACAAGATTATCTGGTCTGATGAAACCAAGATTGAACTATTTTGCCTGAATGTCAAGCGTCACGTCTGGAGGAAACCTTCCGTACGGTGAAGCATGGTGGTGGCAGCATCATGCTGTGGATATGTTTTTCAGCGGCAGGGACTGGTAGACTAGTCAGGATCGAGGGAAAGATGAACGGAGCAAAGTACAGAGAGATCTTTGATGAAAACCTGCTCCAGAGTGCTCAGGACCTCAGACTGGGGCGAAGGTTCACCTTCCAACCGGACAACGACACTAAGCACACAGCCAAGACAATGCAGGAGTGGCTTCGGGTCAAGTCTCTGAATGTCCTTGAGTGGCCCAGCCAGAGCCTGGACTTGAACCTGATCAAACATCTCTGGAGAGACCTGAAAATAGCTGTGCAGCGACGCTCCCCATCCAACCTGATAGAGATTGAGAGGATCTGCAGAGATTAATTGGAGAAACTCCCCAAATACAGGTGTTCCAAGCTTGTAGTGTCATACCCAAGAAGACTCGAGGTTGTAATCGCTGCCAAAGGTGCTTCAACAAAGTACTCAGTGAAGGGTCTGAATACTTATGGAAATTTCATATTTCAGCTTTTTATATTTATTAACTTTGCAAAAATTTATAAAAAACGTTTTTTGCTGTGTCATTATGGGGTGTTGTGTGTAGATTGATGAGGAAAAAAAAGCAATTTAATCAATTTTAGAATAAGGCTGTTACATAACAAAATGTGGAAAAGGTCAAGGGGTCTGAATACGAATGCAGTATATATGGATGGAATTATGCACCTCATTCAAACCATGAAGCTGGGAGAGAACATGCAATGCTGGTGAAGGACATGCGGCCTACAAAGTTACAATTATAGGCTAGCGAATTAGTGTAATTCTGAAATATAATAGGCCTATTTAAAAACATTATAATTAGTAGGGTGATGCATTAGCCTACCTTTTCATAATATTTCCACTAATGTTGTGCGACGTGCGTTCAATGACATGCTTGAATAATATAGGACTAAAATAAGATGCAGACGGCTTTCGCTTTTCTTCACGAAGATTGAATGTTTATGGGTCTGAATAAATAACTGCTATAGCAGCCAAACTTAACTGGCAGACCGCGGTCCGGGTCCGTACCCAGGGAAGGGTCAATCCGGACCGGACAACATAGCATTTTGTTATATAAAAGTCAATCAATTATTTTTAGACACCTTTTAAAAAATAAACAGGGCGCAGCGGCCTCTTTTAACTCAGCAACCTCTCTTTTTCGCTCTCTCTTGAAGCAACGCCCACCTCTACTAGTGCCCCGTCTAATCCAATCACGTGGTTATATGCAAATACAAGAGGCCGCGTCTTACCCAATCACATCAATCCAAATATCCTCTGCGGAACCTTGGGACAAGCAGGCAGAAAGAAACAGAAATATTTGACCGCGGTTCAACTGTCAATATCACACACAGAAGGAGCTTAGTTACCAGTATCTTTGTTAATATAGCTTGTAAAAAAATAAGAGTTGACTCTGAAAACCGTATATTCAAAGACGAGTGGACGGAACAGTATTTATTAATTCTCCCCGCAACTAGCACAAAACCAATGTGCCTGATATGCAGCAAGTCCGTAGCTCTCGTGAAAAGTGCCAATGTTAAGCGCATTATGACCCCAGACATAGTAAATTCGATCAGACGTATCCCCTGAACACGAGGTGAGAACAAACAAGATTAACCAACTCAAATCCCAATATGAGAGGTCCACCAAAGTCCTTGTCAATTCCCTGATAGCCCAACAACGTGCAATGGAGTGTTCACTGAGGATAGCTTGGGTTTTGGTCAAACACACAAAAGAAAGTCTGACGTTGAGAGGGATGCATGTGTGAAGTTGCTGACACCTTCCTTGAAGGTAAACAAAAAGATGAGCTCAGGGAAAATATCAAACAGATCCCACTGTCATATTCCACAGCAAAGAGGAGAACTTAAATATTAGCTGAAGATTTAACTTCACAACTTGATGAGGCCATTCAGAATGCACCATGCATTTCATTAGCTGTGGATGAATCAACAGATAACACTGATAATGCCCAGCTTCTGTTGTTTGTCAGATTTTATAGCGAAACAAAAAAGGAATTGTGTGGAGCTGTTGGGCTTAACAAATCTAGAAGCACACACACTGGGAGAGCATATCCATGAGACCATCAAAGGAATGCTGAAAAAAGGGGATAGATCTGAAGTCAGTGGTCTCCAGCACCACAGATGGAGTTCCAGCCATGATAGGAAGAGGGAGGGGACTGGTTGTACGTTTGAAAGAGGACCACCCTGACCTGACATCATATCACTGCATCATCCATCAATCTGTCCTGTGTGCTAGTCTGGGAAAATAGTATTCTGAGGTCATGACAACGATGATGAAACTGATCAACTTTTTGAGAGCAACATCATCCCTAGAACACCGCCTGCTACGAGGCATTCTGACAGGGGCCAATGCCAGTTTTGATGACTTACTACTGCACAACAATGTCAGATGGTTCAGCAAAGGCAGGGTTTTGGAATGCTTTCGGGCCATTCAGGAGGAAATCAAAGCTTTCTTATCACAGCAAAAGAGATGAGGAGAAGATGAAAACAGTTGCATTTACATCACACCTTAATCAACTGAATGTTAAGCTGCAGGGACGGGTCAGCACAGTGTGTGATACGATAACAGCAGCCCGGGCTTTCCAGACGAAATTTGAGCTTTTCAAGAATGATCTCCAGGGAGAACTTGTCCACTTCCCCCAATTATCTGGTGCAAACGCAGGGAGACAAAGATGTTCCCAACCATGTTGATTTCATCCAGAAGCTGATGGAGAACTTCCAGGCTTGTTTTGATGACTTCACTGTTGGAAGAGAACTGCTGCTGCTCAACCAGAACCCCTTCTTTGTCACAAATGTGACCAAGTTGTCAGAAGAAGCAAAACAGATCTTCAGATGGGTAGATGTTTCATCACTGAAATGGAGTTGATTGAGCTGCAAGAAAATGTGTCTCTTGAAAGAGCAGGCTGGTGATTGTGACCCTGTCACTTTCTGGGGAAAGATGGTGCCTGCAGCTGATGTCCATGTTTTCAAGAGACTAGCACTATACATCCTGACCATGTTTGCCTCCACATACAGCTGTGAATCTGCCTACTCCACAGTGAACTTTAATAAAAACAAATACCGCACCAGGCTCACCAATGAACACCTGCACCAGTGTCTCAGAGTTGCTATTTGTGCCAAAGTTCAAAGCATTGGCAGGAGACAAAGTGTAATTTCTCTCATTGATGCAAGGGCAAGGCCCAGAGTGACTTGTGCATAAATATTGCATGGCCCACAGTGACGTTCTGTGCATTCAGATTAATATTTTTGTTCAACTCTCCTTTGTTCTCCAGAAAACATGCACTTTATTTCATAATAATAATTAAAAAAAGTTAATTCAAGGCCCATGTACAATGGTTCAGAGTGCACTTTTTTCATAGACAATTATGCAGCCACTTTTGTTCTTCAGCAAGGTTGATGCAATGTTGCACGTTTACATTCGAAATAAGTTGTAATTCATTCAAATAGTAAGTCTCATGGTCCTCTGTAGCTCAGCTGGTAGAGCACGGCACTTGTAACGCCAAGGTAGTGGGTTCGATCCCCGGGACCACCCATACACAAAAAAAAAAATATGTATGCACGCATGACTGTAAGTCGCTTTGGATAAAAGCGTCTGCTAAATGGCATATTATTATTATTATTATTATTATTATTATTATTATTATTATTATTATAATGTATTTAATGTACATTTTATATAACAACATGTCTCCTAAGTCGTAGATGACTATGTTTGTTACTACGCTGTACCACAGCGCCGATAAAGGGCGATATCCATCCAGACCTTTGCCACCTAGGGAATTTGTGTCACTGGACCTTCTCAAATAGTAGTTGAGTACCACTGTGCTATAGCCTATCGCCATCATACGTCCTCTCCTTTCCCTGTGGGTTCTTTAGGCTGCTGTATTTAACATTCAGCAAACAAGAGCAAGCTTGCATCCCTCTTTATCAGTATAAGAAATGCATAAAAAGTCCATTAAGCTATTCTAGTCTAGCTTTTCCTGGGACTCCAGTAGAGCAAAGGGAGAGAGGCCAGCGGAGAGCATGTGTGTATTGCTTAAGAGTGAAGACAGAGACTATAAATTCGAAGCTTATGCATCCTTAATCGATTGACACACCTGTGCATCAATCTAATTAAAATAATAATAGAAAATTCCCTACAGAATCTGCCTGTTTTAAGCTAGATATGTTTTTTGGGTCTGGACTGCGTCTCAATCCACCGCATCCGCCTATGTCAGCCTTCCGCATCTGCGGTGGAACGTGGCAGAGCTACGGCACTGTTTGTTAGATCATCCCGAAAACGAATATGATCACTCTATGGAAAGATGAGACTCTCACGAACACAATGGTTTTGCTCTACGACCCCCACAAGCTCCAGGGGACTCGTCTGAAGTCGATACCGTCAATGTGCCAACTTCTTTCTGTAATGTCCAAACTGTTTGGGCTATGAACTCTCACGAACACGATCATTTTGCTCTACGACCCCCCCCGACAAGTGTCAGGGGCCTCGTCTGAAGGTAACCCGGTACCTGTGTAAAAAAATGATTGCAACTAGTTTTGTGTCCCCAAAAATATATTTCCTGAGCTTTCTTATATCTCATAGATATAGGACAGACACTTCAAAACCTTTATTTCTTATTAGTTATTTTTTGACTGTCTGTTTTGCCATTTATGAATGTGTTATTCAATGTGTTTCTATGGGCTATAGTAGTAAAGGCCAAATTCAATATTTTATCAAATCATAAAAAAAAAAAAAATGTATACCTACAGGAGTCTTAAAATATGTTAGCTTAGTAGAACCCACCCCCATAATTAATTAGCTAAACATAAGGGCTAATGCTGCATTTAATTTATTACCTTAAAGAGCTAGGCTAGGATATACAGGTAAAAGTCAGTAAATTAGAATATTTTGAAAAACTTGATTTATTTCAGTAATTGCATTCAAAAGGTGTAACTTGTACATTATATTTATTCATTGCACACAGACTGATGCATTCAAATGTTTATTTCATTTAATTTTGATGATTTGAAGTGGCAACAAATGAAAATCCAAAATTCCGTGTGTCACAAAATTAGAATATTGTGTAAGGGTTACATTTTGAAGACACCTGGTGCCACAAAATAATCAGCTGATTAACTCAAAACACCTGCAAAGGGCTTTAAATGGTCTCTCAGTCCAGTTCTGAAGCCTACACAAACATGGGGAAGACTTCAGATTTGACAGCTGTCCAAAAGGCGACCATCGACACATTGCACAAGGAGGGAAAGACACAAAAGGTTATTGCAGAAGAGGCTGGCTGTTCTCAGAGCTCTGTGTCCAAACACATTAATAGAGAGGCAAAGGGAAGGAAAAACTGTGGTCAGAAAAAGTGTACAAGCGATAGGGATCACCGCGCCCTAGTCAAGATTGTGAAAAAAAAAACATTCAAAAATGTGGGGGAGATTCACAAGGAGTGGACAGCTGCTGGAGTCAGGGCTTCAAGATCCACCACCAAGAGACGCTTGAAAGACATGGGTTTCAACTGCCGCATACCTCGTGTCAAGCCACTGTTGACCAAGAAACAGCGCGAAAAGCGTCTCACCTGGGCTAAGGAAAAAAAGAGCTGGACTGCTGCTGAGTGGTCTAAAGTCATGTTTTCTGACGAAAGCAAATTTTGAATTTCCTTTGGAAATCGAGGTCCCAGAGTCTGGAGGAAGACAGGAGAGGCACAGGAACCACGTTGCCTGAAGTCTAGTGTAAAGTTTCCACCATCAGTGATGGTTTGGGGTGCCATGTCATCTGCTGGTGTCGGTCCACTCTGTTTCCTGAGATCAAGGGTCAACGCAGCCGTCTACCAGCAAGTTTTAGAGCACTTCATGCTTCCTGCTGCTGACCTGCTCTATGGAGATGGAGATTTCAGGTTCCAACAGGACTTGGCGCCTGCACACAGCGCAAAATCTACCCGTGCCTGGTTTACGGACCATGGTATTTCTGTTCTAAATTGGCCAGCCAACTCCCCTGACCTTAGCCCCATAGAAAATCTGTGGGGTATTGTGAAAAGGAAGATGCAGAATGCCAGACCCAACAACGCAGAAGAGTTGAAGGCCACTATCAGAGCAACCTGGGCTCTCATAACACCTGAGCAGTGCCAGAAACTCATCGACTCCATGCCACGCCGCATTAATGCAGTAATTGAGGCAAAAGGAGCTCCAACCAAGTATTGAGTATTGTACATGCTCATATTTTTCATTTTCATACTTTTCAGTTGGCCAACATTTCTAAAAAATCCCTTTTTTGTATTAGCCTTAAGTAATATTCTAATTTTGTGACACACGGAATTTTGGATTTTCATTTGTTGCCACTTCAAATCATCAAAATTAAATGAAATAAACATTTGAATGCATCAGTCTGTGTGCAATGAATAAATATAATGTACAAGTTACACCTTTTGAATGCAATTACTGAAATAAATCAAGTTTTTCAAAATATTATAATTTACTGACTTTTACCTGTATATCTACAGTATATCTACATCAATATATATCAATAATTGTATCTTGAACAGGATTATCTATTTTGGATGCAATTTTAATGGAATTGAAGGAGAGAGAAAGACTGAGTGCTTGCGTGCGCGCTGATTTAAAGCAATGATATTCGAGTCCAGCTGCAATTTAAAAATCCTTACAAAAAAAATTAATAAGGTGACTCCCGAATGGAGATGTAAATGAGACGCGCATTCAGATATATTCGTTTTAATATTACTGTAGCATACAGTAGGCTATGCTGCAGCAAATGTACCGGTCACAAGAAAAAAAATGACCAGCTGATGAGATGATACATGCATTGTGAACTGCGCTCCATATGAGATGCGCTGTCTGTTACCACCCTGAGCGTTGGATTGATCATGCAGATAGCAGAACAGAGAAGAAGACAAATGTAACAGTTCCATTTCACGCAGTTATTTGTCGCGGGAAACGGCAGTGGGTTTGGGCAGGATATCTCGGTAACCCCATTCACGCTATTAAACCCTAACACACGCACCCGAGCCAACCACTGTGAGGTAGTAGCCTACCAAAACACACTAATACCCCACTTCTCCTGACACGCCTATGTGTTGACGTATCCGCCACAGACCCTGACCATTATCACTCACACCAATGACATCTTTCACCCTGGGGACTACCACAATAACACACACACAGTCCCTTCCACAATAACACCAAAGCCTGTGAGAATGTGTGTGAACCAACCAAATGCCAGGATCTGTGTTGCCAGAGAGAGGCATGTTGTGTTGAAGGTGGAGAGATAAAGAAGCTTTCCCCACCCTCTTGTGCTCCACTTAGTCTGACAGAGCCTGACAGCTCCTTCATAACACAGATTAGCATTGACTGGTTAATCTCATTCACGTTAGCATTAGCCTAGCTAGCGCCTATAATAGACCTAGCTAACCCATCTCACAGCCACTGGACTCAGCCTGCAGAACCTCACCACTGCCTCTTTCAGTACAGTGTGTGTGTATGTGCGCGCTTTGTTTTGCCATTTCAGTGATAAACTGAAGAAAGAGTGAGAACCAAACAAGTGGAAAAGTGAAAGAGCGACCTAGGAAATTTAGGACAGACAGAAACGGAGAGGCATCGCGTGTGTGTCTGGCCCAGTGTGTGAGTGTATGAATGGAGTTTCTCATCCTGAATAGTTGTATGTACACCGCCCTGCTCGACTTGTTCAAACATCACTGGGATGTTTTTCTCCTGTCCATACTCTCTACCACTGCTCTATTGGAGTGATGTCACACACACACAAACTCTCTAAAACCTATGACTTACAGCTAACTCTGATGGCTGGTCCTAAAGCACATCAGAACTAATCCTGACTGGAGCCTGTGGGCCTAATTCAAACTTCTGTGCAAATCTTTCATGGTTAAATTGAATAGTTAAATTTGGACACATTTTATCTCAAAACTGGATTTGATCATTGGTCACTGATCCACAGGTGCCCCCCCCCCCCCCCCCCCCCCACCCCCCCACTGGCAGACGGCCCAGTCTTTGTTGAAGGGGAATTCTCTTTTCCTTTGTTGTCCTGATGGATGTTTTCCACCTCTTTGTTTCATTCTTCTCTTCTCCCCTCTCAGATCGACGCGTTAGCACACTCTGCTTTAGGGTTTTAACTAGAAATGAAGACTGTAGCTACCTGTATCTCTCCAGTACCACGTTTGGTGATCATGACGACTGTCCCTGTAGTTCTAGAATAGATTCAGTGGAATTTCCCATCACTCCCATCCCTTGACCCTGTGCTCTATCTCCCATGGCAACCCAGTGTGTGAACTCAGCGGTTTTCAGATTTAGCTCTAGTCATGACTAGGCTCATCTCCACTGTTAGCTATGTTGACTCATCATGACAGTTGTGAGAAAGCTCTCTGCTCCTCTCCATTCCACTTCAACTCCTTGACTGTATTCTTAGTCAAATCACCTGATGATACAAAAGGTCAATAAAATGTCAGTGACTAAGGAAGAAACATTGAACATGTGTCAAACAGTAATCAGTTAGACCCGTTTCTGCTCCAAAGAATTCAAATTCCCAAAAGCTCTATTGTCCAAGATGTGAAATTTGGTCACAAGAAACCTGCATCAGTCAGGCATGGTAAAGGTATTGGCTTGGTAAAGGTAAAGTACTCTGGCTGATGTGGTGTTGCTGCTGCTTGTGAACAGGAGAGCTGCCTGATGGCTGGGAGCAGGCTGAAAACCCTAATGGAGAAACCTACTTCATTGACCATAAAACACACAGAACATCCTGGCTCGACCCACGCGTGGATGCTCACCTCAGTAAGTACCCTCTGGACCACAAGTGGACCGCAAATCCCCCAAATCGCTACCTTGTCAACTTGCACAAACCTCCAACCAATCAACCCCCTTCATCCCCAAAATTACTAGCACTAAACTAATCAAACCATGCCCCTTGATCTCTCATACTTGCCCCCTTGCCCCCTGTGCCCTCCTGTGACAAAGCTTTGCCTGTGAGAAGCTAGTAGCTAGCAGCTAGAGGAATGCTTTGCTTGGACAACAGTTGGCTAAATCTTTCCTGAGAACCCAATCACATGCTTGTCTGGATGCCAAGTCTGATTCCAATAGCCAATGACAGTGCCAAGTCTGATTTGATGAAAGCCAATGAAAATGATTGCCTCTCCCTCCCACCAGTGACCAATGATTCTCCTGCTTTCTACATGTGATTGTGTCACTTCCTGTCCTGACAGTGCTCTCCTATCCCTGCATGATGATTTATTTATTTTGTGTGTATTTGACGTATGCATTTGTGTGCTGGTATTTCAACTAAAGTCTGTTTAGTTTGTCAGTGTTTTAGTTAGTGATGTGAGTGAAATAGTGGGAGGTGACGTATCTGAGGTGTGTTTATGCGTGGATGAGGTGTGTGTATAATTTGGTGTGTCGATGAGGTGTGTGTTGGTGTGTGTCTGGGGAGCAACAGAAGGGTACCCAGTAGCTCTGTGTGCTGGACAACCTCCGCACCATCAGGTCCCTAGATAGATGTGGTAAGACCAAAGAGGCAAAACGGCAGCTTTCTTTGGCAGAGGAGAGATAAGTGGTGTCAGATTTTTAAATGGGAATTGTTTTCTGCCTGTAGTATAGACTGGTTTACACTTACAGGAGACTAACATATCAACACTAAATTGCTCTGTTAAAAATTCCTTTGATGAATACGGAAAACATTAACTTATAGTCCGCTATGTCTTCAGTTGGCACTGACCTTAAAATAATGCATTTACTTTTTAGTTTTAGTCTTTCATTCCCCCATCCAGCCAGCCGCCCAAACAGGGGTCCTGTTGCACAAGAGGCTGTCCTCAAAGACTGGCTGTGCGTGAGAAAAGTGTGTGAGCGCTGCCGGCCTACCTGGCCCCCGACCACTGTCCACACACACTCGCGAACATGCACATAACTCTGTCCTCCTTACAAGTGTCACTTTGCATATCCATTTATATGATATTAAATCACTCTGCTGTCTCTTATCAAATGTAACACACCCACGAACGCACGCGCACACACACAGGAGATGGTGGAGGTTTTAATGAGTTTCTCCCTTTTTCCACTAGTTTTTTAGCTGACGCTGTTTCCTGGAAGTAAACGAAACAAGAAGGCCTTTGTTGGCAGAGCAGCCCCACTCAGTACTTACTGTCTCCCCCCTTTTCTCAGCCTCCCTCTCTCTTCCTTTCAGTTTTTCTCTCAACACCCTTACCTCCTCCCTTTTACTGCTGCTCCATCTTTGACCCCAACTTCTCTGCTACTCTTTTCTCTCTCTCTCTCTCTCTCTCTCTCTCTCTCTCTCTCTCTCTCTCTCTCTCTCTCTCTCTCTCTCTCTCTCTCTCTCTCTCTCTCTCTCTCTCTCTCTCTCTCTGCTGATGTCATGACTGGGAGCTGTGAGGGGGTGTAGTGTGCTGGTTCGTCATCTTGTTGCTCTAGTCTATCTGATCATGTGTTTTCCATCATGGCAATCGGTCAGTGTGACACCCGGTGCTAGCCTGGAACAGGAGGGAGGAGAGAAGGGTGGGGAGACAGAGTGATTCAGTCGAGGAGAAGTTAGAGAGGGGGAGGTGAGGGGAGAGAGGTGGAGGAGAAGCGCAAGGGAGAGCATGGGAGAAGAGGAGGGTAAAACAGGAGAGAGTAGTGGAGTGTTATTTTACTTATGGCTGAGGCTGTGTGGAGCTGTGCACAGCCTGCAGTCTGTTTTCTGCAGCCCCAATATGCACTCTCTGACAGGGTGTGTCCTGTCCTGCCCTGTAAGCTTGTCCCAGACCCAAACCTAAACATGCTGCTCTGAGTGTTTCTGTGTGCAATTGCATGCATGGCATGTGTATGCGTGTGTGTGTGTCTGTCTGTTTGGCCCCTATCCAAACCTAGGGACTCCACTCAAGCTATTTGGTTCTAACAAAACAAGGGCATAATGAGAATAAATAAATGTTCCCATCATTGTCATGTACTCTAGCCCAGGCCTCTTAATAGTTGTAAGCATAATCTATTTAAAATGTTTGAATGTCTAATGGACGGTTTCCTGTCTGCCCCTTGACCAAACATGAAGACTGTTGCAATGAATAGCTTTGGAACCAAAATGGCCGTGCATTGAGCCTTTGGGTATGACATCATTGAGTGTAATAGGACGATTACGGATGGTTATTTTTCAGAATTGTGAAGTACGTTAAGGGGCTCTGAGGAAAACCTTATGGTCCACAAATGTGTTGCTTTATAGAAAGAACGATGAAATCATACATTGCATGACAGCTAGGCCAAAATCATTTTTTCTTACATCAGTCGAGAACTTTCCCCTCACACTTGGTTGTGATTAGGGAAAGGAGGTTAGGTAAACTACGTATGTTCCTTCTTTGCTCTTCATCCAGACTTCAAGTAAACTACAGGTCCAGCTGACAGATGGGGGGGGGGGAGAGGCACACTGAACTGCCAAGGGTGAAAGGGAAGGAGGGAGGAGGAGGAGATAAAGAGAGAGGAGGCAAAGGAGAGTGAGATGGAGGGAAGAGAGAGAAACAGATGTGCTGAGAGAGATAGAAGGAAAGAGATGGGGTGAAGGAGAGAGAGCAGACGGTGTCTGTCCACAGTGAAACCACCAGACTGTCTGCTTTTTGTGCCATGTGCCTTTTCAGCTCCAAATCGGGCCTGTACTGCTACATTTATGCCATGTGTGATTAGTTTACGTGACACACACACACACACACACACAATGACTTTGTGCTCTGGAGAATCCATTAAGAGTTTGAGCAAGTTTTTATTCAATACTGTTGAAAAGAACTGTGAATGAACTGACCAAAGATGACCTTGGTCAGACATGATCACGTTTCTGCCTCTCCTGCCCTGTTCAGACCCAAGGCAGGCTCTGTCCTGTACAGTAACTAAATACTGTATGCTTGTTGTGCTTGGATCACACATTCCCCCCCCCCCCCCCCCCCCTCCCCCCCTCTCTCTCTCTGTCAGTCTGATTGTTCATGTGAGAGTAGGGTGACCGTGTGTCTGTCCTGTCACTGTCCTGGCCTTCATTAAGCTACACTTCTCTCACTCTGTGTCACTGACCTGGCTGGGATCACAGAGTCGGACATAGGGGCTAGCGATCAGCTAATTATTAACGACCACTGGTAACAAAGAAAACCGCTCATCACTGCTTGATAATGATTCTTCTGTCTTCAATAGAATGAGCTGATGATTAACTGGCTAAAGTAGTCAAGTCCCCAAATCAATGCTCCTTGATTTTTGTTTTTCTAAAACCAACCTTACAGGCCCCTTTTGGCTGTTGTCTGGAATAGCCAAGTCTAGATGCTATTGCTGGAGGTCTAGTCTGTCATGGCCATCTGGTTTCCCTTCGTAAGCACAGGAGCAGTATTCTATCCATATTACTGGTGTGCTTCAAAGTGGCTGAGGCTCTGTTGACAGTGAGAGCTTGGTCAGGTTGTTTCTCACACATGTAGTGTTTATGCCGACTGTTTACATCTGTGTGTGTTGTGCATGTAGCCTATGCGTGGGTGATCAATTTCCAGCCTGACTTACTATCTGGACCGTGTCCCCTTCCCAGAGCAGTGGTGTAAAAAGAGGTGATGTGGAACTAGTGAAGTGAGCTGAGCTCAAAGTGTTCAGAATCAGCTGCTGTTCACCTGATTGACTAGACCTGAGAGAAATGTCTGCAGTAGTACTGTGTACATACTAGCACAGTCATTCTTATCACAGTACAATAAGCCTCGAGATAACTCTCTCTCACCCTTTTTCTCTGTCCTCCACTGTGTTTGTTGTTTCTAGCCTTAATACCAACCCTCTCCCTCCTCCCTGTCTCTCCCTGCACAGTGATGTCCCAACACCATCACCAGCAGCAACTGCAACACACCCAGCAGCAGCAGGCCCAGCAGCCTCAGCAGCCCCAACAGGCCCAGGCCCAAGCCTTGGGCTCACCTGGCTCACTGCCCCAGCAGCAGAGCTCCCAGACTGGGATGATGAGCCTGTCCAGTCCCCTGGGTGTGGGGGTCAGTGCCCAGCACCAGCAGAAGATGAGGCTGCAGCGCATCCAGCTGGAGAGGGAGAGGATCCAGAGACGACAGGAGGAGCTCATGAGACAGGTGAGGCAATCTAGACCTCAACACCAACCCGCAGCTGCTAAAGTATGAGCCCGTATGAGTCCTCTAAGCTCTAATCATGAGAGAAAGGCCATGGTTAAGTAGATGTGGCCTAGTACAGTATAAGCAACAGCCCCCTATTCCTAGTAAGGGGGGGGGGGGGGGGTCAACAGTAGGGTTTCATCAATAAAGTCTTTGTTGTCATTCAACGAGAGACAACTCATTTTCATGCACGTTATTTCATTGAGAAAGACTGCACCTAAAATTGCGCGACTAAGATCTCCTTTCTTGAGTTATCTTAGATTCATTCTGACTATTTTGAGGAAGTGTATACTGGCTATGGCATCTCAAAATGGACAAACAGCACTATTGTTTTTCAAGTAAAGGTATTTTAAGGGAGTATGCGAGCACATTTGTTCGGTAGGCGCCAGCCGAACTGAAGCATGCTGACGCCTTTAGTGTGTCAGATGAGCACACCAGTCTATTTACAAAATGGCTGTCTTCAACATCCAGCCAGTGACAGCATCCAGGAAGTGTTTATCTTACCCAGATCTCTTTGGTTCTCATTCGGCCCACCCTGAGCGCTGAGCAGCACTGGCTGGCCTGGAGTCTGTGGGGTTGGCCAAGGGTAGGGAGAGGGGAGGTGTGTGTGGTGGGTCAATAAGGCCCATCCTGTGAAGCCCTGGCTATGGTCAGTTGGTTTGGCCAGCGGTGGACACTTGGCCTGAGAGGATGAAAGAGAGGAGTGTGTTTGGGTATGTGTTATAGGAGTGTGTGTGGGTTAAGGTGTGTGTGTATATATACACATCTGAGGTAAAAACATCTGTGTTTCTCTTCTCGGATTGCCTAGATGTTATGAGTCAGGAATGTCTTCTTAGCAGTAGAATCTCTATTTTCCACTGTCCTCTTCTAGACTCTGCTTTGGTCTGACTGTCTGCAGATAGATCCCTATAGACCTGTGTATTCCTCCTCTAACCTGTCTGTTCTGTTCACTACCATACAGTGTGATGTTCAGTCCATCCAGCTCCAATGTCATACTCACACTTATAAACTGTTATAAAGCCGCTATTCAGCAGCCTGGAAAGCCCCTTCCCTTTAGATATACAGCTATTTTGTTACACACACAGCCAATCAGATGAATGGGAAGCCATTCAAAGTGAATTGGAACGGCAAGCTGGTGTTTCTCAGGTGACTGTGCACTGGGAGTTAGTAATGCCTGAGGCTTGGAGACTGACACCGATCCAACCCCAGAAACAGTGTCAGGGCAGCGGGACAGGCAAAGGTTAGTCCCCCCTCTCTCCCTTCCTGCTAGTCCCACCAGTGTAGACCTGTCTTTGACACTCAGCCAGTGTGAGTATGCAACTGTGTGTGTGTTTGGGTAGGGTTACATGTGCATCAGAAAGCACACACCTGTTACTTAACCAGTGGCCCAATTCCTTGAAGACTGTTAAGTGTGTGGGTGTGTGTGTGTCTTCACATCAGATAATTGCTGTGAAGTTCACACACTCACTACTACAGTTGAAGTCGGAAGTTTACATACACCTTAGTCAAATACATTTAAACTCAGTTTTTCACAATTCCTGACATTTAATCCTAGTAAAGATTCCCTGTCTTAGGTCAGTTAGGATCACCACTTTATTTTAAGAATGTGAAATGTCAGAATAATAGTAGAGAGAATTATTTATTTCAGCTTTTATTTCTTTCATCACATTCCCAGTGGGTCAGAAGTTTACATACACTCAATTAGTATTTGGTAGCATTGCCTTCAAATTGTTTAACTTGGGTCAAACGTTTTGGGTAGCCTTCCACAAGCTTCCCACAATAAGTTGGGTGAATTTTGGCCCATTCCTCCTGACAGAGCTGGTGTAACTGAGTCAGGTTTGTAGGCCTCCTTGCTCGCACACGCTTTTTCAGTTCTGCCCACAAATATTCTATAGGATTGAGGTCAGGGCTTTGTGATGGCCACTCCAATACCTTGACTTTGTTGTCCTTAAGCCATTTTGCCACAACTTTGGAAGTATGCTTGGGGTCATTGTCCATTTGGAAGACCCATTTGCGACCAAGCTTTAACTTCCTGACTGATGTCTTGAGATGTTGCTTCAATATATCCACATAATTTTCCTTCCTCATAATGCCATCTATTTTGTGAAGTGCACCAGTCCCTCCTGCAGCAAAGCACCCCCACAGCATGATGCTGCCACCCCCGTGCTTCACGGTTGGGATGGTGTTCTTCGGCTTGCAAGCGACCACCTTTTTCCTCCAAATATAATGATGGTCATTTTAGTCAAACAGTTCTAGTTTCATCAGACCAAAGGACATTTCTCCAAAAAGTACGATCTTTGTCCCCATGTGCAGTTGCAAACCGTAGTCTGGCTTTTTTATGGCGGTTTAGGAGCAGTGGCTTCTTCCATGCTGAGCAGCCTTTCAGGTTATGTCGATATAGGACTCGTTTTACTGTGGATATAGCTCCTTTTGTACCTGTTTCCTCCAGCATCTTCACAAGGTCCTTTGCTGTTGTTCTGGGATTGATTTGCACTTTTCGCACCAAAGTACGTTAATCTCTAGGAGACAGAACGCGTCTCCTCCCTGAGCGGTATGACTGCTGCGTGGTCCCATGGTGTTTATACTTGCGTACTATTGTTTGTACAGATGAACGTGGTACCTTCAGGTGTTTGGAAATTGCTCCCAAGGATGAACCAGACTTGTGGAGGTCTACAATTCTTTTTCTGAGGTCTTGGCTGATTTCATTTGATTTTCCCATGATGTCAAGCAAAGAGGCACTGAGTTTGAAGGTAGGCCTTGAAATACATCCACAGGTACACCTCCAATGGACTCAAATGATGTCAATTAGCCTATCTAAAGCTTTTAGCCATGACATCATTTTCTGGAATTTTCCAAGCTGTTTAAAGGCACAGTCAACTTAGTGTATGTAAACTTCTGACCCACTGGAATTGTGATACAGTGAATTATAAGTGAAATAATCTGTCAGTAAACAATTGTTGGAAAAATTACTTGTGTCATGCACAAAGTAGATGTCCTAACCGACTTGCCAAAGCTATAGTTTGTTAACAAGACATTTGTGGAGTAGTTGGAAAACGAGTTTTAATGACTCCAACCTAAGTGTATGTAAACTTCCGACTTCAACTGTATATTATGCTCTACTGATGCCTGGGGCCTGGAAAAACACTGCTTGGTTAATTGTTCTGTAGCAGTTGTAAGAAGCAGATTCGGGCCCGGTTATGGAGTCAGCTAATTTCTCACCTCAAGTGCTGTAGCACATGATGTGTTCTTGATCAATAATGAACATAGTTTCAGTAATCTTGAATCTCTCCTCCCCCTCCCCTCTTCTCTCCCTTCTTCTCTTTCCTCCTCCTCTCCTCCCCCTACCCACTGCTGCCTATTGCTTCCCCCTAGGAGGTGGCGCTGTGTAGACAGCTGCCCATGGACTCTGAGAGCATGGCACCAGTGCCCACCCCCGGTGGCAACCCTGCCCAGCCCATGACACATGGCAACATGCCCACCAACGGATCCGACCCCTTCCTCAACAGGCAAGTGCACTCCTGACTCCTTCCATATATTACTGTCCCTCCTCTCTTTTGCTTCTCTGTTTCTTCTCATCTGTATGTCTCTGTCCCCACTCCCTTGCTCTCTCTCCTCTCACTCCCTTCTTTCTCAACACCCCCTCTCCTCTCTGCCTCTCTCCCACTTATCCCCTGGCTATCCTCTTCTCCTCTCAGCCTGTGTTCTTTCTGTCTTCTGCTTTCAGCTTTCAAGCTGTAGTGTGTGATCCAGTTGGTGGACAGAAGGGATCAGTGTATTAATGTGTGTGTAATGTATGTGATCCGCAGTGGTCACTTCCAGCACTCACGGGAGCAGAGCACAGACAGTGGCCTGGGGCTGGGCTGTTACAGCATCCCCACCACCCCAGAGGACTTCCTCAATAACATGGAGGAGATGGACACAGGTAGGACACCCTCTCTCCCCTTTCTCTATCTACCTGGTTATATGTGACCATCTCTCTCGCCTTCTCTCTCTCTCCTTCTCTCTCTCTCTCTCTCTCTCCTTCTCTCTCTCGTGCCTTCTCTCTCTCTCCTTCTCTCTCTCTCTCGCCTTCTCTCTCTCGCCTTCTCTCTCTTCTCTCTCTCTCGCCTTCTCTCTCTCTCGCCTTCTCTCTCTCGCGCCTTCTCTCTCTCGCCTTCTCTCTCTCTCGCCTTCTCTCTCTCTCTCGCCTTCTCTCTCTCCTTCTCTCTCTCTCTCTCTCCTCTCTCTCTCTTGCCTTCTCTCTCTCTCGCCTTCTCTCTCTCTCCTCTCTCTCGCCTTCTCTCTCTCTCGCGCCTTCTCTCTCTCGCGCCTTCTCTCTCGCTCTCGCCTTCTCTCCCGCTCTCTCACCTTCTCTCTCTCTCGCTTTCTTTCAAATTCAAAAAATGTTTTTACATGAAAAGTGTTACCACATACGTTGCCAAAGTAAACAAATAGACACATATCAAATCAGGTAGCAGTGTCTTCTCTCTCTCTCTCTACCTGATTATATGTGACCATCGCTCTCTCTCTCCCCCGACTCACCTTCATCTCCCCTCTCTCCCCATCCAGGTGAGAGCATGGCCCAGGCGGGCAGTATGAACGTGCCCCAGCACAGCCGCTTCCCAGACTTCTTGGACTCTCTGCCAGGCACCAACGTGGACCTGGGAACCCTGGAGGGAGCAGACCTCATCCCTATCCTCAACGACGTGGAGTCAGTCCTCAACAAGAGCGAGCCCTTCCTCACTTGGCTGTAAACACACATAAACACACACACAACTTCTACACACATATATACACATCCATACTCAGCCATAAAAAACACCCAACAAACAGGATGAAAGACTCACTCCACATATCTAAAGACTCATCTATGCTACCTTTAGCTACTTATTCAAATCAGCATTATCTCTTCTTCCCACTTCTCCATGTGTACAGTAATATTACGCTCTGTCTGTCTACCCTCTGTCTGCCAGACCACGTAGCGTCAATCTGAGTTCAGTTCTGATCAAAGATATAAAGAGTATTCATCAAAGCCTTGAGAGAACAAAAACAAATCAAAACATGACATGTATTAACGTGTACTTCACTATTGGAGTTATTGTATGATAAACGAACAAAGTTAGTAGTTTTGGTTTTGTATGTTCTGTAAGACTTCCCCTGAGAACCCACTCTGGTTTATTAATCACAATTGATTAAATTTTTTCTACAGCATTCCTTTCTCTCTTGGGGTGACTTTCTATGTGGAACAAGTACTTGGTGAAAATAAACAAAATTGGCTTCCTATGGGATTGCTTTGACGTAACTGTCAAACGTATGCAGGGAGGCTTTTTCACCAATAGGTGGAGCTATTGCTTAAGCTACTGTAGTTCTTATGAAATGGATCTTTACTGGCTACAAGGCTGTTCGTCTGTAGGTTCTTGGTATAAAGTGGACCTCTGTCGGCTACAGCACTGTAAACCTTCTTCTCTATCACCAACAGTGTCCTAACTGTCAGTTTGGGTTAGAATAAAAACCCGATTTTCTTTGTTACTGTTGCTTCTGTTCGCAAAAACAACCATCTTGGATTCACTTCAATATCATCAGTAGTGGCCATGAGAGCAAAGTGTGTTGTATACCAAATAATGTTTCCTGTTGTCCGCTTCAATGTCACTACAAAAGCTTTAAATCTTAAAAATTGTACTCAGTTTGATTTTTAAAGAGAACCATGTTTTTTTGTTTTTGTCATTTTACTAATTGTACTCAAGCTGATTCCAATATAGCTATTATAACACTAAAAGCTCATGCCTCAGTTATGCAATGACGTGCATACGTAGAATTGTGTTTTATACCATGTACTTTTTATATCATGCTACAAGTATTATTTTTTCTTTACTGTAAAATAGCCTAGATGGGTTCTTTGCATCTGGTGCCATTGTAGGACTAATAATATAAAGTTTGCATTTTTAGTATTTATCAAGAGCTATGTTTCTTACAAATTTTTGATTTTTAAAAATGGAATTGAGATTTCAAAGCACTGCAAATCAGCAAGGGATTCAAAGATATCTGATCATGAAGTGAATGTTGAAGTTAGATGACCACCAGAAGCTCCCACTAGACGTTTTGGTTCAATGTGCGTTGAGGCTTGATAATCCTTCGTAAGCAAACTCTGTCCTTGGTCCTCAGTTGGTCTTTGGGCTTGCAAAGTCTGTTTGAAAACCCAAAGGACAACTTTTCTAATATCTGTTCTGCGGGGAAATATGCAACAATAGTATTTTACGTGGCCTGAGATTATTGTGCCTATGCGTTTAAAGGATTTTTACTGAATCGTCAGGTTGGATTGACATGGGGTTGGCGTTATGATTTAGTTTTAAAGTGCCAGCCCCTCAACACAATCCGCTCAGATAGTTTTTTTTCTACATTTTGTATTTGCATGTTGAATGACATATTTGTGATTCCTAGCGTTAGGTTCTCTATAGCTCGACCTTATATTGTGACTATACTGAGTCTGGTTACTGTGTAGAACGTTAGGACTGACAAGGCGAGAAAGTGATGGATCCTGGGAAGGGGCAGGTGAATAGATGGCGAGAGAGAGGGAGGGGGGTTGAGTTTAGGGAGGGGGAGGGCAACCAAAACACGCTACTTTTCAGCGCGGCGGCCAACACGGCGCTCATGACGTCCTAACGTCGAGGTGAAGAGGGGCCTAGAGCGGGATGAGAGGAAGCACACGGTTACCCCACCATCACCACTACCACATGTCTCATTGGAGAGGTGTGTATTGGGGGACATGGTGTGGATTAGTGTCGAAGATTGTAGGCGTCTCTATTACCCAAGCATGGCCTAAGAAGGCTAGCTCTGACAGGGCTAGCAACATGCTAACTTATGCCCAGGCCCAGGCCTAGCTGATGAAAAGCGCTCCAGTGAGAGGTGATGAGGTCTTTTGAGAATCAGACAAGCTGATTGGGATGAGGCTTAACACTGTCCAATCACACAGCTTCCTCTCCTGGTGTCTGTGTGCATTAGGGAGGTTTCCTGTCTGTGTTTTCTATTGAATGACATGCTGTTTCAGCTCTAATAACACAAGCCAGAGGAGCACTGAGGGGGGACACTGGGCAGGGCTGTCTGTGCATCATTACTGGGGACACAATTCAAGGGTGTACCAGTTCGTGGGGGCAAGATTCAAGGTTGCACCAGTATGAAGGGCACAAGTTAAAAGTTCAAGAAAATGGATAATAGCATTTATATCAGATTGATTGTCTTTTTGTAAATCTATACTTTGGGGGTTAGAAATAACTGATAAAGAGATGGATCCTTTGAGACCATAGATAGGGGATGAACACAGTGGTGGTGTTATACAATAAAGAGTTTGAGGAAATGGTTTGGTGCGTGTGGGGCACATGTTTGACTACAGGGTGCATAGAGTGGCATGACATGGATTGGGCAGGATAACGCTGTAGCAATATATAGCGCAGTATATCGCAGTGGCTAGGCTACAGCTGCATGGTTGGATGAGACGGGGGTGTGATGTCAGTAGGTACAGTGTTCTTGGAACTTTGAAGGCATGCTCATTGGTTGTGGAAATCACACACCAACAAAATGGCCGTATACTGTATCCTGGCAGTGTGGAGTTCATTTTGACATAATGTAACCTCGGCAAGGAGTCTCTGAAAACGAGAATTGAAAGTCGTGTAACATGTAAAAAAAATAAACTGAATAAAATGGCGTCAGAACCGTGGATCTTTGTTTTTTTATTGATGCCATTTATTACAGAAGTTCACTTTTGATCACTGATATCACAACCCACGGATCACACATAACCGTACACAGATCCAAAGATGACCTGAGAATATAATTACTCTCTAGGTAACATTAGCTAACGTCTTATTTATATATATATATATATATATATATATATATATATATATATATATATATATATATATATATATATATGTATATGTATATGTGTATACAAAACATCCACTACCATCATAATATAGCGGAATCAACATCCTCATAAAGTCACTGATAACCCAACATGACAAAGACTCCTTAGTAACCCCATGGCGGTACAGTAAATATTGACACAGAGGAGGGAAGCTAGCCATGTCCCTCCATTAACAAGAACTAACCAGAATAAAGTTATAAAATAACTTAACCCACAGGCCAACTAAAACAAGGCTGACACAGGTGTGGTCCACTCACCCTGTCAGAAACCTATATGAAGTTATGTTTTGTGTTTTTCAATTAAATAAGATACATTTTTGATAGATTTAATTGATTCCAAGTGTTCTGTTGGACACGTCTTTTACGGTACATAATATGAAAATTATAATATAATGTGAAAAGTGCAATCATGTTTTAAACATATTGAATAATAAGTTTGATTACGTTAAATGTATTATCCTCATTAAAAAAGAAATCATAATATTTGCTATATAGCGAAAGGCTATATAGCTATTTGCTATATAGCGAAAGGCTAAGTTAGATAGGTAGGAAATTGTTCAATTAAAAAATATATATTTAACAAAATTAAATATACACCTCATAGAAAGCCAGTTGTTATAAGAAGTCTTCTGTCTTCTGAGAGGCTCACTGAGGCTCAAAGATCCTCAGACTGCACCATCAGTACTCTGAAAGACAAACATAGGACAACATTTTCAAATCAACTCTTACTCAAATACAAACATATTTATACAGTGTATTAGTGTGACAATCATGGATGAGCTAATTGTTGCTAAGCTCACTGGAGTTCATGGTAAGACAACACATGGCCGAGAGGTCAGTGACACCGGTGGGAGTAAATGTCAATAGGGGGCTAGCCTTATTGAGAGTCAGGTGTAGGCAGGTCCAGTCCAGCGCCGGGCTTTAGAATACAATTTATTAAATGTTGTATTCCACTAGAGCAAAAGTATTTGTGACACTAATTTGGCATATGGGCTAGATGTTCATTTAAGATTGGGGTGTATCAAGACGAGGGTTGGTCCTCTTACCCCACAGCAGCCGCAGCAGTCTCCACAGATGGCACCGATGAGTCCGTTGATGACCTGGATGGAACAGAGCACAGCCTGCAGCAGGCCCATCACCAGCAGCATGGAGAACAAGGTCAGGTGCCAGGTCACAATGCCCTCAGGTGCCTTACAGCCCTGCCACAGGTTGTGGTTATTCAGGTAGTCACTGGTGGGGAACAGAGAAGAAGTTCAGCAAAAAGTAAAATAAGATTCAGCACACTGCAATGTATGTGAGTGACTGAGAGGTACATACATTGTCAAAACATAAACAATGTATTAACAACAATGTATTTGAGTGCTAAAACAGTTCTTACCCGTCAACAAAGGGGTTGGTCCATGACTCTGTTGTGCCATTGGTATAGAGACACGTTGGTCCATTATGAATGGCAACAGCAGACACAATGAAGGAGTAGCCAGCCCCCAGAACCCCAACCGCAGCAAAGATGATCGAGATGAACATCTGAGGAAAAGAAAGATCACAGTTACAGAGGTCCAATTCAATCAATCTGGGTCCCAGGCCATCCAAGTGACTCAAATAGACTGTGTTAGTCCACTGAGCTGAAAGTGGTAGGAGGAGTGGTAGGAGGGGCTCTTCAGGGCCCATATCCATAAAACGTCTCAGAGTAAGAGTGCTGATCTAGGATCATAATTTATAAGATTATATGGACAGGTCTGGGCTCCTGTTCCTAGATCAGGATGGACTTCAGGTCTTACTTATACTGTGAGCATATCAGCTTGATATATCACAAAGACAGGCTTTCCTGTTCAGGTTGGAACTCTGGGTGGTCTGCAGTGGGCCATTTCATTTGGTGTCCGCTGGGGTCTGCTTAGGGTGTGGTTTGATATCCGCATAGCTGTTTTGTACCGAGTTGACCTACTGAAAGGGAACTTACAGTTATGACTATAACTACTGTTCCCTGAAGGAGAGAAACGAGGTACAACAACACCTGTTCAGCCCTGCATCGCCCAGTTCTGGGCTCGGTGAAGAGCAGTACTGAATTTAAATAATTAATCCTCGGGTTTATCACCTGTGGACGACGGGGCTTACGGTGATGCACGGTGTTCATTGGCCTTGTCAGGCATGATTCTAATGCTCTTCAGTAGAGGGCGCTAGTGCGCAAACTCCCCATAGCCTTCTTCAGGGAACAGTAATTATATTCATAACTGTACACTTCTCTTATCTGCTGGCCACCAGTATAATGGGGGCTCTGTCTGTAGGAGTCATGTGAAATGCCAGTTGAACTCCCTGCCTTGGGGTGATTAAAATCGATGTATTATATCTACTGCGTGTGTCTGTGCGTACATGTGTGCATGCGTGTGTGTGACTCTGGTTTCTCCATGTACTCACTGCAAATCTCTTTCCACAACTCTCGTTGCCACAGCAACCGCAGCAGTCATTGTTTTTGAGTCCCAGGAAGACAAGTGCTGGGAGGATCATCTGTTCAGAAAGATATACAGCACACAATTATTAGGATCAGACCGCAACGATATACACACAACCATTAGGATACACAACTATTGGTTAAGATCAGGACAGAAAGACCTCATACTACCCACAACCATTTGGAGAAGACCCGGAAGACTGCTCTCCAGTTGTAAATGCTCACTATAGCACAGACAATCATATTGGTTTGAATCAGATTAGTAGGGAGACTACTGTTTCTGTCATCAGCAACAGGAAGGACAACGGCACGTTGGCTTAAGAAGCAAAAACAGAGTGGCACTGTCTATTGAACACTGTGAACATTATTCTAAACGTTTCATTACATTCTAATAATGCTGTAATAACACAAGCGTAATGGACAAGGCCACCTCACAGTCTTTCATTTTGATCATTTAAAATTGCACCTCATATACTATTATGCAGTTATAATACGTTATAAATGACTGTTCACCTGTTTTCTGAAAGGCTTAATCCAATATTTGTACATTTCTATGTTTCTCCACATGTTGAATAGAGATATCCAAATAAAACCATTGAAATTAGAAATGTGTACATTAGAGAGTTATTAGAAGTTATTAAAAGCCCCAAGTCAAAAGCCCTTTTCCATCCCCGCAGTAACAGTTGACTTACCAGAACCCCGGATCCCATGATGCCCCCAAAGTACCACACCTCTTTAGTGATGTGGTCATTGTCTTCAGCGACCAGCCCCCCAGGGAAGAAGAGCAGGATGTTACAGAGCACACATAGGATGGCCAGGGGGATCAGGGTGATGCCCAGGCACTTGGCAAAACTACCCGAGCACATGGTACACCTTATCAGCCAAAACAGTCACACAGGGCCAACAGGGGTTCTCTAAAGTCTAAAGGGCTCCCACACAAACTCGTCCACACCTAAACTGTACGTCCTCCGTAAAAGGTTCCTATCTAGGACTGTACCTGTCCAGAGCAACCAAACGGTCTCAATCTCTCAGATTGGGGAGGGGTGTATATATAGACAGCTGGTTGGATGATGTCACTGCCTTAAATTGAATTTACAGTGTTTGTGCTATGGCAACCATCTGGTCCGGTTAATGTTCTACTACAGGATTTGCCTGCCTGGCCCCAGCCCTGACAGAGAGATAGAGGGGGGTTATTGAACACACTGCCACTCTATTGGAGTCCATACATGGTTATGAATGGGAGTATGTTTCAGGCTATATTTTTCCTGATACTTTATGGTATTTTATTCGGTCAATGTTGTAGTGAAAAACCCATGAAGCCTCTCATAATTTTACATTACCTTATTTAAATAAGGTATCATACGGTGAAAAACATTCCAATACAATGTGATTATCATTCAAGAATAACTTTTTTCCTTTACATAGTTTTATTCACATTTAGGCTTATATTAATGCATCATATTTAGTCTGAAAACAACAACGCCACCAGCATATTGTGCACTATTAGATTTATGGCGTATAGGCTACAAGGTAAATGTACACTGAGTGTACAAAACATTAGGAACACCTTCCTAATATTGAGTTGCACCCCCTTTTGCCCTCAGAACAGCCTCAATTAGTTGGGGCATGGACTCTACAAGGTGTCGAAAGCGTTCCACAGGGATTCTGGCCCATGTTCACTACAATGCTTTCCACAGTTGTACGGAAACTGTTGAGCGTGAAAAAGCCAACAGCTTTGCAGTTCTTGACACACTCAAACCAGTGTGCCTGGCACCTACTACCAGACCTTGTTCAAAGGCACTTCAATCTTTTGTCTTGGCCATTCACCCTCTGAATGGCACACACACAATCCATGTCTCAAGGCTTAAAAATCCTTCTTTAACCTGTCTCCCCCCCTTCATCTACACTGATTGAAGTGGATTTAACACGTGACATCAATAAGGGATCATAGCTTTCTGTCACGGTTTCGGCCGAGGCTGCTCCTCCTCCTGGTTCGGGCAGGCTTCGGCGTTCGCCGTCCCCGGAGTACTAGCTGCCACCGCTCTATGTTTCTGTGTTTGATTGCTTTTGTCTGTCTGTCACACCTGTGTCTGTTTGGGAGTTGATTACGTGTCTTATAAGTTCCGTGTTGTGATCTAGGGTATTTGTGTGTTGTTATTCTGTTGCCACTGTGGCTATGATACGTGTTTGTTTTCCGTGTCATTTTTTCATGTTTAGTGTTTTACGCGTGTGCGTAATTTTCCCTCGCCACTTCGTGTTTTCGAGGTCGGGGTTTTGTTCTCGTGTTATTGAGACTATTAAAAGTCTTGTTGGACTAAACCTCTGTTTCCTGCGCTTGACTCCTCCACCACATCCACGACGGAATAGTGACAGAACAACACACCATCATGGAGTCAGCAGGAACAGCGGCGGCACCCGAATCCCTGCTGGACCGGATCAACTTCCAGGACGCCATGATCCGGCGACTCGGGACCGCCATGGACGAGGTGTCCAACACTCTGCGCCGATTGGTGAACCCTGAGGTGGCCAAGGACCCTTACAACATCGCATCACCAACGGCCAGTCCTCCTCTCTCAGCACCGGAACCCAGTGGCATTCGGCTCTCACTCCCGAGGGCATATGACGGTTCTGCAGCCGGGTGTCAGGGATTCCTCCTGCAGGTAGAACTTTACCTTGCCACCATACACCCGGCGCCCTCGGGATACGAGAGCGTCTCCGCCCTCATCTCCTGTCTCTCCGGCAAGGCGTTGGAGTGGGCCAACGCCGAATGGAGGGGAATAGACGCCGCAACCATCACCTACGCGGAGTTCTCCCGCCGCTTCAGGGCTGTCTTCGATCATCCCCCTGAGGGGAGAGCGGCGGGAGAGCGTCTATTCCACCTCCGACAGGGGAAGAGGAGCGCACAGGAGTTCGCACTGGAGTTCCGGACACTAGCAGCGGATGCGGGGTGGAATGAGAGGGCCCTCATCGACCAGTACCGGTGTAGTCTACGAGAGGACGTTCGTTGGGAGCTGGCCTGCAGGGACACCAACCTGTCGTTTGACCAGTTGGTGGACATTTCCATCCGTCTGGATACCCTGCTGGCTACCCGCGGACGTCCCGAGTGGGGGTCATCCAGTCCACCCTCCAGCACCCCCGAGCCGATTCCCATGGAGCTAGGGGGTGCTGGCGCTAGAGAGAGGAGGAGAGGGAACCCGAGGGGGGCCATCCCCTGCACCACCTGCGGTCGTGGAGGACACACTGCGGCCAGGTGCTGGGGAGGGTCTCCTGGGAGGGGTGACAACAGGCCACGCACTGGGGAGTCATTTCAGGTGAGTAGGCGCCCCACTCACCCAGAGCTCTCTGTTGGTCACATGAGTATTCCTGTGAGGTTTCCACAGGTGGCACCTCATTCCCAGCATAAGGCGCTAGTAGATTCAGGCGCAGCTGGGAACTTTATTGATCGGGCATTTTGTAGTAGGTTAGGGATTCCCCTTCGGCCGGTAGACGATCCATTTCCTGTCCACGCATTAGACAGCCGGCCGTTGGGGTCGGGCCTGATCAGGGAGGTCACAGCACCACTGACGATGACGACGCAGGGGGGTCATGAGGAGATCATTCAGTTTTATCTGATTGACTCTCCTGCGTACCCCGTGGTGTTGGGCCTTCCCTGGTTAAGCACCCATGATCCTACCATAGCGTGGCAACAGAGGGCTCTTATGGAGTGGTCTGCTCAGTGTGTAGGGAGATGTCTAGGTGTTTCCGTAGGGGCGACCTCGGTAGAGAGTCCGAACCAAGTGCCTGCACTGCGCATTCCCCCCGAGTATGAGGATTTAGCACTCGTGTTTAGCAAATCGAGGGCAACACGGCTACCTCCTCATAGACAGGGGGACTGTGCGATAAATCTCCAAACAGGAGCGGCTCTTCCACGGAGTCATGTGTATCCCCTGTCTCAAGAGGAGACAGCGGCTATGGAGACATACATAGCCGAGTCCTTGGCACAGGGATACATACGGTCCTCTACTTCCCCAGTCTCCTCGAGTTTCTTCTTTGTGAAGAAGAAGGACGGGGGATTGCGCCCGTGTATTGATTATCGTAGTCTCAATCAGATCACAGTTAAATACAGCTACCCACTTCCACTGATTGCGACGATGACGGAATCATTACGCGGAGCGCGGTTCTTCACAAAGTTGGATCTCAGGAGCGCGTACAATCTGGTGCGCATTAGGGAGGGGGATGAATGGAAGACAGCATTTAGCACCACCTCGGGTCATTACGAGTATCTCGTCATGCCATACGGGTTAATGAATGCTCCGTCAGTCTTCCAATCCTTTGTTGACGAGATTTTCCGGGACATGCATGGGCAGGGGGGTAGTAGTTTACATCGACGACATCCTAGTGTACTCTGCTACTCGAGCCGAGCATGTAGCCCAGGTGTGCCGAGTGTTGAGAAGACTGTTGGAGCATGACTTGTATGTCAAGGCAGAGAAATGCCTGTTCTTCCAGGAGTCCGTCTCCTTTTTGGGTTATCGGTTGTCCACGTCTGGTGTGGAGATAGAGGTAGACCGGGTATCGGCCGTGCGTAATTGGCAAACTCCAACCACTGTAAAAGAGGTGCAGCAGTTCTTGGGTTTTGCTAATTACTACCGGAGGTTTATTCGGGGTTTTGGACAGGTTGCAGCTCCCATTACGTCCCTGCTAAAGGGGGGTCCGGTTCGTTTGCGGTGGTCGGCTGAGGCGGACAGGGCATTTGTCAAACTTAAGAACCTGTTCACCTCGGCTCCGGTGCTGGCGCATCCGGATCCCTCTTTACCATTCCAAGTTGAGGTAGACGCGTCCGAGACCGGTATTGGGGCAGTCCTGTCACAACGGTCCGGCGCGCCACCTAAACTCCGCCCCTGTGCTTTCTACTCGAAGAAGCTCAGCTCGGCGGAGCGCAACTATGATGTTGGGGACAGGGAGCTGTTAGCCGTAGTCCAAGCCCTAAAGGTGTGGAGGCATTGGCTTGAGGGGGCTCAACACCCTTTCCTCATTCTGACTGATCACCGTAACCTGGAGTACATCCGGGCAGCTAGGAGATTGAACCCTCGTCAGGCTAGGTGGAATATGTTCCTAACCCGGTTTGTTTTTAAGATCACATACATCCCAGGGTCCCAGAATGGTAAGGCAGACGTCCTGTCCCGGCGGTATGACACGGAGGAGAGGTCCAACGAGCCTACTTCCATATTGCCGGAATCTTGTTTGGTGGCTCCGGTAGTATGGGAGGTCGATACGGAAATCGAGCGGGCACTGCGTACCGACCCTACTCCCCCCGAGTGTCCTGTGGGGCGGACGTACGTTCCGCTCGAGGTCCGTGATCGTCTTATTTATTGGGCTCATACATCACCCTCCTCTGGACATCGAGGTATTGGCCGGACCGTGCACTGTCTTAGCATGAAATACTGGTGGCCAACGTTAGCTAGGGATGTGAGGGTTTATGTCTCCTCCTGCTCGGTGTGTGCCCAGTGTAAGGCGCGTAGACATTTGCCCAGGGGTAAGCTACATCCCCTGCCCGTTCCACAACGACCGTGGTCCCACCTATCGGTGGATTTCGTAACTGACCTACCCCCCTCCCAGGGGAATACCACCATATTGGTCGTTGTGGATCGGTTTTCCAAGGCCTGTCGTCTCCTTCCCATGCCGGGTCTCCCTACTGCCCTACAAACCGCTGAGGCCCTATTTACCCATGTGTTCCGGCACTATGGGGTCCCCGAGGATATTGTGTCTGACCAAGGTCCCCAGTTCACTTCCAGAGTTTGGGGAGCGTTCATGGAACGGTTGGGGGTCTCGGTAAGCCTTACCTCGGGGTACCACCCAGAGAGTAATGGGCAGGTGGAACGTGTCAACCAGGATGTGGGTAGGTTTTTGAGGTCCTATTGCCGGGACCGGCCGGAGGAGTGGTCGAGGTTCATCCCCTGGGCAGAGATGGCCCAGAACTCTCTCCGCCACTCCTCCACCAACTTAACACCTTTCCAGTGTGTTTTAGGTTATCAGCCGGTCCTGGCACCGTGGCACGAGAGCCAGATCGAGGCCCCTGCGGTGGACGAGTGGATTCGGCGCTCGGAAGAGACGTGGGACGCTGCCCATGTCCATCTGCAGCGTGCCATCCGTCAACAAAAGGCGAGCGCCGATCGCCACCGCAGTGAGGGACCGGTGTACGCACCGGGAGATCGAGTCTGGCTCTCGACTCGAAACCTGCCCCTCCGCCTGCCCTGCCGGAAGCTGGGTCGGCGGTTTGTGGGGCCCTTCAAAGTCCTGAGAAGATTGAACGAGGTGTGTTACAGGTTACAACTGCCAATTGAGTATAAAAATATTAACCCCTCGTTCCATGTGTCTCTTCTCAGGCCGGTGGTAGCTGGCCCACTCCAAGAAGATGAGATAGGAGAGACCCCTCCGCCCCCTTTGGACATCGAGGGGGTCCCGGCGTACAGGGTCCGGACCATCTTGGACTCGAGGCGCCGGAGGAGTGGTCTCCAGTATCTCGTGGAGTGGGAGGGGTACGGTCCGGAGGAACGGTGCTGGGTGCCCAGGAGGGACATACTCGATCCATCCCTCCTGACTGAGTTTCACCATGGGCATCCCACGCGCCCGGGTCCGCGTCCTCCTGGCCGTCCCCGAGGCCGGGGTCGGCGCGCAGCTGGAGCCGCGCGTCAAGGGGGGGGTACTGTCACGGTTTCGGCCGAGGCTGCTCCTCCTCCTGGTTCGGGCAGGCTTCGGCGTTCGCCGTCCCCGGAGTACTAGCTGCCACCGCTCTATGTTTCTGTGTTTGATTGCTTTTGTCTGTCTGTCACACCTGTGTCTGTTTGGGAGTTGATTACGTGTCTTATAAGTTCCGTGTTGTGATCTAGGGTATTTGTGTGTTGTTATTCTGTTGCCACTGTGGCTATGATACGTGTTTGTTTTCCGTGTCATTTTTTCATGTTTAGTGTTTTACGCGTGTGCGTAATTTTCCCTCGCCACTTCGTGTTTTCGAGGTCGGAGTTTTGTTCTCGTGTTATTGAGACTATTAAAAGTCTTGTTGGACTAAACCTCTGTTTCCTGCGCTTGACTCCTCCACCACATCCACGACGGAATAGTGACACTTTCACCTGGATTCACCTGGTCAGCCTATGTCATGGAAAGAGCAGGTGTTCTTAATGTTTTGTACACTCAGTGTAGAATATAACACAACTAGACAATCAGTACAGGGCTAAAACCCCAAATAGACTTTGAACCCCTTTGTACAGTGCCTTCGGAAAGTATTCAGACCCCACATTTTGTTACGTTACAGCCTTATTCTAAAATGGATTAAATAAAAATCTACACATAATGACAAAGCCAAAACAGGTTTTTAGAAATGTTTTATAAAAAATAAAAACAGAAATACCTTATTTACATAAGTATTCAGACCCTTTGCTATGAGACTCGAAATTGAGCTCAGGTGCATCCTGTTTCCATTGATCATCCTTGAGATGAAGGAATTGTCCGTAGAGCTCCGAGACAGGATTGTGTCGAGGCACAGATCTGGGGAAGGGTACCAAAAAATGTCTGCAGCATTGAAGGTCCCCAAGAACACATTGGCCTCCATCATTCTTAAATGGAAGAAGTTTGTAACCACTAAGACTCTTCCTAGAGCTGGCCGCCCGGCCAAACTGAGCAATCGGGGGAGAAGGACCTTGGTCAGGGAGGTGACCAAGAACCTGATGGTCACTCTGACAGAGCTCCAGAGTTCCTCTGTGGAGATGGGAGAACCTTCCAGAAGGACAACCATCTCTGCAACACACAGTTTGCCAAATGGCACCTAAAGACTCTCAGACCATGAGAAACAAGATTCTCTGGTCTGATGAAACCAAAATTGAACTCTTTGGCCTGAATGCCAAGCGTCACGTCTGGAAAAAAACCTGGCACCATCCTTACGGTGGGACTGGGAGACTAGTCAGGATCGAGGGAAAGATGAACAGAGAAAAGTACAGAGAGATCCTTGATGAAAACCTGCTCCAGAGCGCTCAGGACCTCAGACTGGGGCGAAGGTTCACCTTCCAACGGGACAACGACCCTAAGCACACAGTCAAGACAACGCAGGAGTGGCTTTGGGACAAGTCTCTGAATGTCCTTGAGTGGCCCAGCCAGAGCCCGGACTTGAACCCGATAGACCTGAAAATAGCTGTGCAGCAACGCTCCCCATCCAACCTGACAGAGCTTGAGAGGATATGCAGAGAAGAATGGGAGAAACTCCCCAAATACAGGTGTGCCAAGCTTGTAGCATCATGCCCAAGAACACTCAAGGCTGTAATCGCTGCCAATGGTGCTTCAACAAAGTACTGAGTATAGGGTCTGAATACTTATGTACATTTTTTATTTCAGTTTTCTTTTTAATACATTTGCAAACATTTCTAAACCTGTTTTTGCTTCGTCATTATGGGGTATTGTGTGTAGATTGATGAGGGAAAAAAACTATGTAATACATTTTAGAATAAGGCTGTAACGTAACAAAATGTGGGAAACGTCAAGGGGTTTGAATACTTTCCGAATGCACTGTATTTACCAGGGTCATATACAATGTTCCCTCTAATTTCTTTAGGCACTGAGCAAACTTCAGGTCTACTGAGCGCAAACTTGAAAGTTGTGAAAATTCTGTGCAACTTCCAGCACGCGTTTACTGTTAACACTGAGGCTGTACGCGCTTTAAGTTACAGTTTCAGACAGTGGTCAAGTAGGCTACTGTGGCTATTTGATCATAATGTAGACCTACCAGAGTTTCCTACTATACAAAAACTATAGATAAAATGCATCCCATAACATTTTAACATGGAAATAGCTGTTCTATCATTCAGCCTACAGTAGCAGACAATGTGTGGTGTTCAGTGTAGGCCTACATTCCATGATACATTTGAAAAAAACATGCAGGGCTTGACATTAACCTGTTTATCCACTTGTCCTTCAGACAGAGCGGTGACTGAAAATGTTGTTTTGTTGTTTGATGCAAGAAACCACTTCACAAAATAAAATGCATTATTATTCCCATACCATTCATTATTGCAGAGAATCAGACAAATTATGCTACCCTCTGCCTATTGGCTACTTATCTTATTCAAGCCTGTCTCAAAATACTATACTGCCCCTTTAAGACCAAAAAAAGTCTCTTTACCTGACTAGCTTTTCGAAGATGTCTAGAAATGTACACGTTTTGTGCTCTTGTAGGAAGAAATCACTCCCCCATTGCTGACAACAAATTATCTATAATTGGGCTAATAACTCACTAACTAGCAAAGGATAAGAACAAATGTGCACATGTGGCTACGTGCAGCTCTCACTTTGATCTCAATACAAGCGCATGTACTCATGACCGCTAATGCTGTAAACACAGTCTAGTTCAAAGTGATTGGCACAGATCCATATATGACAAAGGTCTATTTCCATATAGGCCTACTGCAGCTCTGATTGGTTATGCCACACTGGCCTGTGTAGAGTACGGGCCAGTCTTATTTTGATGCATTCTGCCTTCAACAAAATGTCTTGCATAGTTAGTTTTGCATACTAAAAGGCCCTGCACGGTCAATCCGATGTCTGCAGTGGCCATACAGCATTTACTGAGATATGGCCTCTGCAGAAGTCAGGGCATTTATAATTATTGCGGTTCCCTGAGCAGAACAGAGCTGTTGAGAAGGAAGTTGTCAAGGAAGTGAGTTTGTGTTTATACTGGACCTCCCGCTCCCACCTAAAGTCAACCAATCATGTCAATGAGGAGCTATATGGAGCCCTCTGCATTGTTAAAAAAAATAATTGGGCAGGCACAGCGATGCTGTACAGAGCTCAATTTGGCCTCTGCATGCCTCTGGAGGCTCCACAATTGTTTCACACCATCCATATGGCACCGCCGAACACATTTTCGGATCAAGCATAAATTGCCTTTAAGTCTTGCGTAGTTCCTTTTGTTTCCATATGTTGAAAGTGGCTAATATTGCGTTGATTCGATCAAAATTCCTACAGTAAAGGGAAAGGTTGATAGTGTTAACTAATAAGGGGGAAAACTGTAGAAAGTTGAGTGAAGTTCAATCTAGTGCTTCTCTGCACAGGCTGATATTTCTTCTGCGTATTCCTGGGGGAGCTGCGTGCCAGCACCTGCACACAGTTTAGAGGGAACATTGGTCATATACTGTATGTTGGTGAGTAGACATTCACTTTGGTCTTCTTTGTTTTGTTGATAACCTAACATTAATCTTGTGTTGTGTAGGCGAAGCCTCCTACAACGTACTGCCACTTGACATCACACAATGAAAAGAAAAACTGAATTTTAATGCAATGCATTGCTCATGGATGTGATCTGTAATCCATTCGCCATTCCTGGATCAATCGACCCCCGATTAATCGATCAGGAAGCAAAGTGACACAAAGTAGCAAAATAGTGTGGAATACAATAATTGTCGAGTGAATGCCACAGGGAAACGTTATTGAGCAAGTTATTATCACCGTCCAAATAGAGCGCCTCTCAGCAGAAATGACTGAATTTTGCACACCGCGTTTCATGTGAGGAAACATTGAAATAAATTGTTTTTTGTGTGATAAAGGAGAAGTAGACTAGGCTATGCAGCCCAGTCTCTCCTTCACCTCGCACCGGTCAGCTGTTGTTTGTTTACATGGCTGTGTGACATCAAGTCAACCCTTGGCATCAAACATCGGTCTGGGTGAGTGGCTCTGGTCCAAGGCTTTAGCGCCTTCTGACTTCGATGTTTGTAGGCTATGTCACTTTTCTTCACTTTATGCTTGAAATTACTCTCCAATCCGAGACCAGACCCTGGCTGGACCTGACATATTCAGATACCATCTTGACTTGCTCCCCTCACAGACATCCTGAAGAGAGTAGGGAATGCTGCTGATGCTGCTGTGGCTGTTGCCCTGGCCGTGACAGAACCCTGCAGCAGTGGGATCGGTGGGGACAGCTTCTGTCTGTTCTATGAAACAAGCACTGGACAGGTGTGCGGCCTGAACGGCAGGTGAGGGAGTGGCACTGCACTGGCACAACTTGGCACATCAACTTCAAGAACTTTCATCACCAGGGCTGGGATGGCGCAAAAGCCTGCAAACCCAGTAGCTCATGTTTTGTCATATTTCATTGTGTAGTTTTTAACCACACACTTTACAGCCAGATAAAAACCTACAGTGAGGGAAAAAAGTATTTGATCCCCTGCTGATTTTGTACGTTTGCCCACTGACAAAGAAATGATCAGTCTATAATGTTAATGCTAGGTTTATTTGAACAGTGAGAGACAGAATAACAACAAAAAAATCCAGAAAAACACATGTCAAAAATGTTATAAATTGATTTGCATTTTAATGAGGAAAATAACTATTTGACCCCCTCTCAATCAGAAAGATTTCTGTCTCCCAGGTGTCTTTTATACAGGTAACGAGCTGAGATTAGGAGCACACTCTTAAAGGGAGTGCTCCTAATCTCAGCTTGTTACCTGTATAAAAGACACCTGTCCACAGGAGCAATCAATCAATCAGATTCCAAACTCTCCACCATGGCCAAGACCAAAGAGCTCTCCAAGGATGTCAGGGACAAGATTGTAGACCTACACAAGGCTGGAATGGGCTACAAGACCATCGCCAAGCAGCTTGGTGAGAAGGTGACAACAGTTGGTGCGATTATTCGCAAATGGAAGAAACACAAAAGAACTGTCAATCTCCCTCGGCCTGGGGCTCCATTCAAGATCTCACCTCGTTGAGTTGCAATGATCATGACAACGGTGAGGAATCAGCCCAGAACTACGCGGGAGGATCTTGTCAATGATCTCAAGGCAGCTGGGACCATGGTCACCAAGAAAACAATTGGCAACACACTACGCCGTGAAGGACTGAAATCCTGCAGCGCCCGCAAGGTCCCCCTGCTCAAGAAAGCACATATACAGGCCCGTCTGAAGTTTGCCAATGAACATCTGAATGATTCAGAGGAGAACTGGGTGAAAGTGTTGTGGTCAGATGAGACCAAAATTGAGCTCTTTGGCATCAACTCAACTCGCCGTGTTTGGAGGAGGAGGTATGCTGCCTATGACCCCAAGAACACCATCCCCACCGTCAAACATGGAGGTGGAAACATTATGCTTTGGGGGTGTTTTTCTGCTAAGGGGACAGGACAACTTCACCGCATCAAAGGGACGATGGACGGGGCCAAGTACCTCCTTCCCTCAGCTAGGGCATTGAAAATAGGGTTGTGGATGGGTATTCCGGCATGACAATGACCCATAACACACAGCCAAGGCAACAAAGGAGTGGCTCAAGAAGAAGCACATTAAGGTCCTGGAGTGGCCTAGCCAGTCTCCAGACCTTAATCCCATAGAAAATCTGTGGAGGGAGCTGAAGGTTCGAGTTGCCAAACGTCAGATTCGAAACCTTAATGACTTGGAGAAGATCTGCAAAGAGTGGGACAAAATCCCTCCTGAGATGTGTGCAAACCTGGTGGCCAACTACAAGAAACGTCTGACCTCTGTGATTGCCAACAAGGGTTTTGCCACCAAGTACTAAGTCATGTTTTGCAGAGGGGTCAAATACTTATTTCCCTCATTAAAATGCAAATCAATTTATAACATTGCGTTTTTCTGGAGTTTTTTGTTGTTATTCTGTCTCTCACTGTTCAAATAAACCTACCATTAAAATTATAGACTGATCATTTCTTTGTCAGTGGGCAAACGTACAAAATCAGTAGGTGATCAAATACTTTTTTCCCTCACTGTATGTGGTAGGCTAACAGTCATCCTTTTCATCAAAGGGTTATTTTATCATGAAGGGTTAGGCTGGTAATATGATCTAATATATTCTCAATGTTTTTGTTGGAAAATAGCCAGTGATATGTATCGTACAGTGAGACTCATGGATCCTATTTTGACAATGGCAGTTTCATGAAATCAGTATTATGAATACTATGCAGTATAAAAGGAGACCCATTCTGACCTTTAAAAGCAGTAGATAAATTCCTTTGCATGTTTTATGTGTTATGACTAACCTTCCTTGATTTACACGCACCGTTGGTTTTGTAAACCCACTGTACATCAAACAGAAAAATACTCCAACAATCAATTACTCAGTGAATAATGCCTTTCCCTCTGTTTCTTTATGAGTGTGTATGACACAGTGCCCACACACACACTACAACTGAAGACACAATACTTGGTAATAACCAAGTAATGTGTCTTCAGTTGTGGTGTGTGTGTGGGCACTGTGTTGACTCAGGAATAACCAGTGTTATTCATCTTGGCGTTGTGTTTTATCGAGCCATTGTTGTGTTAGGCTTCCTATTTAACCCCAATGTGTTGCACTTGACCTGTGAAGGCTGCTGTGAAGAACCACAGAGGAATGTTTGCTTGGCTGACTACACCGGACTGGTTGCTTACTGACTGGCTGGCAGCCTTGAACTTATTTGACCATCCAGTTCTGGATAAGTGAACTTGAGCTAATCACTGGCCTATTTGGGTGTGTTGGTAGCCAGTGTGGCTTGCCTGCCTTAGGAATTTTAGGTCTCAGTCATACTAAAGTATGTGTGTGTGTGTTACTAACTAGACCAACACATTTTAGTTCTGTTGACCCCTGTTTGACTGTGTGTGTGTGATTGTGTGTGTGTGTCCTGTTCCAGTGGCCGGGCCCCAAGAGCACAGACAGTGGATCTCCTGGAGAGGCATGGCTACAGTGAGTCTAACCCTATCCCATCCTTCCACGCCCTGAACGCCACCCTGCCAGGGGCCACGGCCTGCTGGTGTTACACTGTCCCCCTGTTTGGCAGTCAGACGGTAAAGTATGATGTATGGTTATCTTATTATAGCTCCAGATGGACTATAACGTTTTATTCTTTAGTATTTTATAGAATTTCTACTCTGTTCTATTTCTATTCTAACATCAACAAACGTCTCCTTTCTATCCACTTGTTTTTTTGTAGCTTATCCATGGCAACAACTGAACGAATCCTAACTCTCGCTTTCTCTTCCTGTGGAGTGATAGCACTCTGAGTGCGTCCGTCCTTCAATAAGCATTAAAAACATGCCCCCCAGTCCCACACACTGTCCTCTTGTTATTTTTAGATCTAATTTGTTGCCCTGTATTTGGCCTGGGTCCAGCGGTTCCTTCTCTAGCAGGCAGTTCTACTATGTTTCCATGGCTTCCTCAGAGGAGCTGTTGCTTTGTTGATCTGTATAGTACAGTGTAAAAAATGAAAAAATATTGTGTTAAGATATTGAATCACTATTACATGTTTCAGGGAAAATGTAAAGTTCTTTATTTAAAAGTTATGCAAATGAAGAGTTTATTTCCAAAATGCTATATCCACCAATTCTTCACATTTATTTTTCATCAGAAATGATTGCTTATGGGTACCTTCATGTGTGTGTAAAAATATTACTCTTCTCAGATTTTTTATTCATAGATTTTAGATGTGTATGAATTTCTTTATATTTTTTGGGCAAAACACTATACCCTGAGTATACCACAACCCCTATATGAGTATAGAGTAGTCCTTAGATCATGGAAGAATACTATATCTCAGAGCTTGTCTTCATCCTGTGAGTGGTCAGTGGGGAGGTTGAGTGTGTGAGTTTCTGGTTGACACTAAGTGTGTCCCGTAAGGGGTCGACCAGACCTCCATCCATCCATTTCCTCTGAGGTTATGACTCTGTGTATATGACTCCTGCTGAGGACGGTGGTGTGACTCTCTGTGTTTCCTGTTAACTTCCTGTTACCGCCGTGTCCCGGTCATCGTTAATTACCACAGCCACAAAGTCATAAACCCCACCAATTTTTCAATGTATCTTCTTAAATTGTGATTTTAACCCATAAGAGTCTAAGCCATTTCTAAGCCGAGGTAGGGGTACTACTAAGCTATATGGAATTGTTTTAAGAAGGTCATACCAAGGATTTAGAATTTTAAGACCCCTTGAAGTATCGCAAAAATATATAGAAAACAAATATTTGATGAAAAATTATTTTTGGCCTCACTGCTATTAGCCCATACAAACGCATTGAATAACATATTCACTACATGGAACAGATAGTCCCCCCAAAAAATCAAAAGGAAGTTTGTTCTGAAGTGTCTGTCCTATATCTGAGCGATATGAGAAAGATCAGGAAACATTTGTCTTTTTTTTTTTTTTTTTTTTACATGTATTTAACCCCTTATTTGTGTCACTAAAGACTCTCCATATACAGTTGAAGTCGGAAGTTTACACACACCTTAGCCAAATACATTTAAACTCAGTTTTTCACAATTCCTGACATTTAATCCTAGTAAAAATTCCCTGTTTTAGGTCAGTTAGGATCACCAATTTATTTTAAGAATGTGAATTGTCAGAATAATAGTAGAGAGAATGGTTAATTTCAGATTTTATTTCTTTCATCACCTTCCCAGTGGGTCAGAAGTTTACATACACTCAATTAGTATTTGGCAGCATTGCCTTTAAATTGTTTAACTTGGGTCTAACGTTTCGGGAAGCCTTCCACAAGCTTCCCACAATAAGTTGGGTGAATTTTGGCCCATTCCTCCTGACAGAGCTGGTGTAACTGAGTCAGGTTTGTAGGCCTCCTTGCTCGCGCACGCTTTTTCAGTTCTGCCCACAAATGTTCTATAGGATTGACGTCAGGGCTTTGTGATGGCCACTCCAATACCTTGACTTTGTTGCCGTTTTGCCACAACTTTGGAAGTATGCTTGGGGTCATTGTCCATTTGGAAGAACCATTTGTGACCAAACTTCCTGACTGATGTCTTGAGATGTTGCTTCAATGTATCCACATAATTTTCCTTCCTCATGATGCCATCTATTTTGTGAAGTGCACCAGTCCCTCCTGCAGCAAAGCACCCCCACAGCATGATGCTGCCACCCCCGTGCTTCACGGTTGGGATGGTGTTCTTTGGCTTGCAAGCAACCCCCTTTTTCTTCCAAACATAACGATGGTCATTATGGCCAAACAGTTCTATTTTTGTTTCATCAGACCAGAGGACATTTCTCCAAAAAGTACAACTTTTGTCCCCATGTGCAGTTGTCTGGCTTTTTTTATGGTGGTTTTGGAGCAGTGGCTTCTTCCTTGCTGAGCGGCCTTTCAGGTTATGTCGATATAGGACTCTTTTGACTGTGGATATAGATACATTTGTCCCTGTTTGCTCCAGCATCTTCACAAGGTCCTTTGCTGTTGTTCTGGGATTGATTTGTACTTTTCGCACCAAAGTACGTTCATCTCTAGGAGACAGAACGCGTCTCCTTCCTGAGCGGTATGATGGCTGTGTGGTCCCACGGTGTTTATACTTGCATACTATTGTTTGTACAGATGAACGTGGTACCTTCAGGCATTTGGAAATTGCTCCCAAGGATGAACCAGACTTGTGGAGGTCTACAATTCTTTTTCTGAGGTCTTGGCTGATTTCATTTGATTTTCCCATGATGTCAAGCATAGATGCACTGAGTTTGAAGGTAGGCCTTGAAATACATCCACAGGTACACCTCCAATGGACTCAAATGATGTCAATTAGCCTATCAGAAGCTTCTAATGCCATGACATCATTTTCTGGAATTTTCCAAGCTGTTTAAAGGCACAGTCAACTCAGTGTATGTAAACTTCTGACCCACTGGAATTGTGATACAGTGAATTATAAGTGAAATAATCTGTCTGTAAACAATTGTTGGAAAAATTACTTGTGTCATGCACAAAGTAGATGTCCTAACCGAGTTGCCAAAACTATAGTTTGTTAACAAGAAATGTGTGGAGTGGTTGAAAAACTTAGTGTATGTAAACTTCAGACTTCAACTGTATGCTTCCATTAATATGTTAAACTGGTACCAGGGGACCTTCAGACGAGTCTTGTGAGGCCTGTGGGTGTCCTAGAGCAAAACAACCGACATGTACGTGTATGTGAGAGTCTTACCTTTTCACGAGGAGTCATAGTGTGTAGCCCAAACTGTTTGGACGCTACAGAAAGAAGTTGGCAGATCGGCTGTACCGACTTCAGATGAGTCCAAAGATGCTGGTAGGGATTGTAGAGCAAAACGGAGAACACCATCGTGTTCGTGAGAGTCTCATCTTTCCACAGAGGGGTCATAATAGTTTGTAGGCCAAACCGGACACTGCAGACGATTTAGTGAGAAGACCGATTTTCGGGATATCTCATGGTCTGACAAACACCCCTCTAGCTCTGTCACCTCTCACCGCAGATGTGGAAGTGTTACATAGGCGGATGCGGAGGTTTGAGATGCATCCAACAGATATCTCTAGCATAAATTGACAGATTTTTATGGGGATGTTTTATTATACTCATTCGATTTCCACGGGGGGTGCAAACATCAACCTTAGGTTTTTTTTAAACGTAACCCTAACCTTAACCACAGTGCTAACCTTATGCCTAACCCTAACCTTAAATTATGACCAAAAAGCAACAACAAAAAATCTGGAAATTCTGTGGTAACTAGTGGGAACCCTGACTCCTTAACCATATGTTTCCTGTTCCTGTGTGTCTACAAGCTCTCTCTCCAGGATGTCCTGAGGCCCGCCTCTGACCTCGCCCTTTGGGGGTTCCCCGTCGCCGTGGTGACTGCGCACCACTGGGCCGAGTGGGTCCGTACCATGAGGGCTGCTGGGAGGGAGCTGGGAAGAGACTTCCTGATTAAGAACGAGGCGCCCAAACATGGACAGGTGTTCTCCAACCCTCATCTGGCCCAAACCTTCCAAGTAACCCTGTCCTTGACTGAGAGGAGCATCAGTGATGTCCTACATTACTCAGAGAGGAGTGTCTGTGTGTGCATTTCTCACTACCGGGGCAGGCTCAACTCTACTGTGTACAGTATCGATCTCTGATGTCATGCCTAACAGGCTTGTTCCTTTCACCCGTGAGTCCCCGAGTCACCAGTCTGGTTTTACTTGAGTAAGAGGGTCGACTCCGGCCAAAATCTGTATATGCGAAAATAAGCGTTAAGCAGACCAAGTGAGGAGTTTTTGTATGGGGGGCAATGAAAGCATGTCGAGGCTTATTTGGTCGAATAGAAGTTTCATAATGCTTAGGACTTAAGTTGTTACGAATGTACTGAGATAAGTGTAATGCACGTGACATTCCAGCAACTTGAGAAAAACAATGTTATATCGGAGTTGTGCCTGTTGCCCTCTCATTGGCTAGAATGTTCCCACCTGATCTTGCCTTCTCCCGCCTGCCTTTCGCTTTTGCGGGCCTGTATTTCTATTGTTAGAGCGGTCAGTCAACCATCTTTTCAATATAATACATAATATTTGATCAAACATATAGCTAGTCTACTTATGATGATGTATTGCTTGTTTGTTTTTTGCTTTTGAAGCGCTTGAAATGTATTTCTGTTATGAAAAGTGCTATAGAAGTTTGATACATTATTATTAGTATTTATTACTGAGTGATGCCATGGATACCATGGATACCATCAGGCCATCATCCATTCATAATCAAATTCAGTTGATTATTATTTTCAGTTCATTGGTTAGGAAGACATCTCATTGTCCCACTGTAGTTTCCACAGCATCTGACCCACAACTCCTTCCTCAGGAATGGCGTGTGTTCAATGTCAAACTGTTTGTGGTGACACATTCCCTGTTGGCGTGGCAACACATCACCTATTAGTGATGGCGTCTGTCATCAATCCTGTACACAAAGGAGCCCCTGGCCCAAGTGGGCTGACATGTCATGTGTACACATGACATGTCAGCCCACTTGATAACCAGGTGGCGAATCGCATCTCTGCATGTCTGGCAGACATATCAGTATGGATGACGGATCACCACCTCAAGCTGAACCCTGGCAAGACGGAGCTGCTCTTCCTCCCGGGGAAGGACTGCCCGTTCCATGATCTCGCCATCACGGTTGACAACTCCGTTGTGTCCTCCTCCCAGAGTGCGAAGAGCCTTGGCGTGACCCTGGACAACACCCTGTCGTTCTCCGCTAACATCAAGGCGGTGACCCGCTCCTGCAGGTTCATGCTCTACAACATTCGGAGAGTACGACCCTGCCTTACACAGGAAGCGGCACAGGTCCTAATCCAGGCACTTGTCATCTCCCGTCTGGATTACTGCAACTCGCTGTTGGCTGGCCTCCCTGCCTGTGCCATTAAACCCCTACAACTCATCCAGAACGCCGCAGCCCGTCTGGTGTTCAACCTTCCCAAGTTCTCTCACGTCACCCCCCTCCTCCGCACACTCCACTGGCTTCCAGTTGAAGCTCGCATCCGTTACAAGACCATGGTGCTTGCCTATGGAGCAGTGAGGGGAACGGCACCTCTGTACCTTCGGGCTCTGATCAGTCCCTACACCCAAACGAGGGCATTGCGTTCATCCACCTCTGGCCTGCTGGCTCCCCTTCCTCTGCGGAAGCATAGTTCCCGCTCAGCCCAGTCAAAACTGTTCGCTGCTCTGGCACCCCAATGGTGGAACAAGCTCCCTCACGACGCCAGGACAGCGGAGTCACTCACCACCTTCCGGAGACATTTGAAACCCCACCTCTTTAAGGAATACCTGGGATAGGATAAAGTAATCCTTCTACCCAAACCCATCCACACTGACTACAGGGTAGGTTCAAAGACACACAACACACCACAACCAACTAAACAGGAATTTGATAGGGTGGATCACAGTGACACAATGTTCATGTTACTATCAGTCCCGTACTGTGGTCTCTCTCTCTCTCTCCCCTATCTCTCTCTCTCTCTCTCTCTCTCTCTCTCTCTCTCTCTCTCTCTCTCTCTCTCTCTCTCTCTCTCTCTCTCTGTGTCTCTCTCTCTCTCTCTCTCTCTCTCTCTCTCTCTCTCTCTCTCTCTCTCTCTCTCTCTCTCTCGTTTCTCTTTCTCTCCCACTGTCTCTCTCAGGGAGTGAGGCTATAGGAAGTTCCTCCTAACGGTCAAGGCATGGCAGCACTCATGGCCCTCAATATACTGGAGAACTTTCCCATCGAAGGTAGCTACATCTTAATCTCAGCTCTGTCTCCTCAACGAAGGACAACCCCAGCTTTGTATTGATTGTGGGGAAGAGCATAGATATATAAACTCCATTGAGACAGTGAGTACATTTACATGCACACTAATAATTCGATATTAAATAGATGATGGTAGTAGGCAGAGTATGGCATTAGTCATATAAACACCTTACTCTGCTTATCTTAATCAAAGTAAGCATACGGCAATTAAAACACCTGGTTTTCTGAGCAATCTTTCTCATTATTAGGACATGTAAACACCTTAATCGGAGTTCCAGCGATGTATTTGATCTGCACATGTGCTAGCACCAGCCGAGTGAGCCTCCCTCTTTAGCACGAGTGAAGTGAGTTCAGAACAACTGAAAGTATGCATCTTACAAAGTTTGTATGTGGAAACTACTTCTATGTCCAAACTTTATATGTCCGAATAAAATAGGCTTCCCAAAAATAGCATGGTCGCTGTGGTAAGTTTATTTTGATTGGCTATTTTCTGCATTTATCAAAGTCCTATTAGGTAGCCTGATGTCAGATGTGTCCATGCAAGCAGGATTATTAGGGAAATCGTTCTTCTTGCAAAGCATGCAAATGTTTTAATCAAACTATTATATTAATCTGACTATTCATGTAACTGAGTGTGTTTAATTATTACTTATAGCTATATTTTTCCATTGTTGATTTGATGTGAATCAAAAGGAAATGATCATATAAGGCTTAGCCACCTGTTATTCACAGTGAGGATATTTTGTTGACCCGTCTTGACTTTCCACAACAACATTCCACAAAGACCCTCCAACCCTGGGTCTGCAACCCACTGACGGACTCTCTTTGTGTGTATCTGAGCTCTGCAGAGATGGGTCATAACAGTGCAAGTTACCTCCATGTGTTGGCTAAGGCCCTGAAGCGGAGCCTGGCTGTTACAGTCCAGTACTGTGCTGACCCACACCATGTTAAAGTCCCTCTGGAGAGTCTACTAAAGACTACAGCCTACAGCTCTCACACACCATGCAAATGGACTGGTAAGACCACAAAGGTGTGTGTTTGTGTGGGTGTGTGGGTGTGTGTGTGTGTGTGTGTGTGTGTGTGTGTGTGTGTGTGTGTGTGCGCTTATTATGAGTGAGCAAGTGAGAGAAAAATAAATAGAGAGAGGGAGAGAGAGAGAGAGTTAGTAAGTGCAAGAGAGAGAGAAAATGTCTCGATCCATGACAAGATCATGGCTTTGAGTGAATGCCACCTTTTTTGTTTTCAAGGACCAGAGAGAAATGTTCTCACGTTGTTGGGTCGTTCTTGAATTGCGGTGGCATTTGGGCATGGAATTTACGAAAAAATTAACTAGATTTGTATTTATTTAAATGTATTTGGGTACATCTTCCCATTCTACATCAACTAATATGGCAGCTTAATGACTTTAAATACTTTTTACCATTAGGATAACATTGTGCCACCACTAGGAGTAGTAACACCAATGATAGTAACACAAATGAGACATTTTAAATGGAGACAACAGATGCTCAAATCTAAGGTCATTAACCCTTTAAAAATAATTTACTACAGTGATATGATTAATAGTTTGCTCACAATGTTATTTCCCTTCATTTAAATTGAGTAACACCAAGTGACACTGTGGATTCAGACACCCAATTATTAATGGAATCCTCAAATTTTTGACATACTAAAAGGGTGTGATTAGCTAATCATTTTCTTTAATATAGACCCCTCCCCCGATAACAGTTTGCCACTGGTGGGAATGCCAAAGGTCGTTGTATATGTTTTTGTTGTTGTATTTGTTCCTATTTCTAAATGTTTACTTATTTTATTTTTATTTTTAGGGGGTAGATCAGCTTGAATATTGCAGATAGATTGTAGCTTCCATCAATGTAATTGTCTGCATCACTTCCAATCCCCCATATATTTTTTTTGCAAATATATATATATATATATATATATATATATATATATATATATATATATATATATATATATATATATATATATATACAGTACCAGTCAAAAGTTTGGACACACCTACTCATTCAAGGGTTTTTCTTTATTTTTACTATTTTCTACATTGTAGAATAATAGTGAAGACACCAAATCTACGAAATAACACATGGAATCATGTAGTAACCAAACAATTATTAAACAAATCAAAATATATTTTATATTTGAGATTCTTCAAATAGCCACCCTTTGCCTTGATGACAACTTTGCACACTCTTGGCATTCTCTCAACCAGCTTCACCTGGAATGCTTTTCCAAAGTCTTGAAGGAGTTCCCACATATGCTGAGCACTTGTTGGCTGCTTTTCCTTCACTCTGACGTCCGACTCATCCCAAACCATCTCAATTGGGTTGAGGTCGGGGGATTGTGGAGGCCATGTCATCTGATGCAGCACTCCATCACTCCTTCTTGGTAAAACAGCCCTTACACAGCCTGGAGGTGTGTTGGGTCATTGTCCTGTTGAAAAACAAATGATAGTCCCACTAAGCCCAAACCAGATGGGATGGCGTATCACTGTAGAATGCTGTGGTAGCCATGCTGGTTAAATGTGCCTTGAATTCTAAATAAGTCACAGACAGTGTCACCAGCAAATCACCCCCACACCATAACACCTCCTCCTCCATGCTTTACGGTGGGAAATACACATGCGGAGATCATCCGTTCACCTACACCGCGTCTCACAAAGACACGGCGGTTGGAACCAAAAATCTCCAATTTGGACTCCAGACCAAAGGACACATTTCCACCGGTCTAATGTCCATTGCGCGTGTTTCTTGGCCCAAGCAGGTCTCTTCTTATTATTGGTGTCCTTTAGTAGTGGTTTCTTTGCAGCAATTCGACAATGAAGGCATGATTCACACAGTCCCTTCTG